TATATTGATTATAAATATAGTCCTTTTCTTTCCATGCATTCTGCCTCCTTGTTGACACCCGGCGCCTACTTGAGCTGCAACGATTTGCTGATTAATCAATAAGTCAAACAACAGAAAAATTCATCTGCAACTGTTTTGACAGTCGCAAACTTTCTCTGGTTCGACCTTCACAAATGTAAGAATTTGATGCTTCGTCATATGTGACAGAAGCTGAATATCTTTGGGTTTTGGACTGTTGGTTGGACAAAATTAGACATCTGAAGATGTGACTTTATTTTTTTACACTATATAGAGCACACAATTATTACAAATCATCAGCAGATTAACCGGTGCTGCAACTAATGAAAATAATCATTAGTTGCAGCATTAGTGCCTACATTACCCACAAAGGCAACTCGACTGCGGACAGTTCGTGCAGAGTTTTGGGTGTGTTATGCTAGCAGCGTCTGATTTAGCCTTGAGTCACTTGCTTCAAGCAGAGATGGGGAGCTGGCTACAGAGGTCTGATCCCCAGACTTCACACAGCTCCCTCTGGAGCCACAAAAGGCAACTTTTTCCTCACATGTGCAGTAGTCCTCCAGCTGTAAACAGACTTTGATGTGTGAAATTGCAGGAGTCCCTCTTTAAATGAAGAGTGAATTTACAATTAAATAAGTCATATCAACAAATAGCAAAGAGAAAATCATGTCCCAATGTAAAGGCAAACATGACCTTAACCCGACTGAATGTGTACAGCAACACTGCCAGAATGTGCAGATTTGAGTACAGGATGAGTGTGTTATGCTAAGCAGCAAAAAGTCAAAAGGCCCTTGAGTCCCGTGAGCCACAGTGCCTCGAGTGCTGGCAGGCAGGGAAACACACACACACACACACACACACACACACACACACACACACACACACACACACACACACACACACACACACGTACAACTGACTTATCAATGATAAACACATTATATATAGCTGCTCATTTGCAGTTTTGGAATAATAAATGTTGCTTTATGAAGTTGTCACACATGCATAAACATAGACAAGGCAATAAGGAGTGTGTGTGTGTGTGTGTGTGTGTGTGTGTGTGTGTGTGTGTGTGTGTGTGTGTGTGTGTGTATGGGAGGGGATAACAAAGCAAAGCACCACAGTGAGGGAGACAGATGGCACCGAGGCTTGCTTGTGGAAGACAGACAAACTCTGCTGGATACTTCATTAGCATTATCCAGTGTATTTTTAGAGTTCACTGACAATATGCATGCAGGAGGTAGACACCACCAGAGAGTGTGTATTAGGTGTGTGATGGTGTTGGTGGTGGTGGTGGTGTGTTTGTGTGAGTGTGTGTTGGCAGCGTACAGTGTGTGCTTTTGTCCTGTGTGGGAAGGAGGGAGGGGAGGCAGTAGAGAGAGAGAAAAAGGGGGGAGAAAGAAGGACAGCCCAGCAAGAGTCATTAATATCAGCGATCACACACTGAGCCGGATAAAAGCAAACTACAGTATGTGAGTGAGAGTAGCACGTATGAGGCAGCCTAACCAGCACAAAGCCAGATAACTCTGTCAGCGCTGTGGCTGCAGTGGCACCGAGCAGACAGAGGGGAAAGGGCCCGTCCACTGGCCTTAAGCTCTCCGTGCAATTAAGGCTTCAGCGCCTTCCCCGCTCCAAAACACGGCAGCCGCGTGAAACACCTTTGCTCCAGTCCATCCACACTCACTTCCACCTCTAATGTCACTGTTGCACACATACACACAGACACACATAAACACACAAACACACACACTGCCTACTTCCTTGTGTGTTTATAATGCCGGAAGCTGCAATGGAAGGGGCTGATCCGGTCCATTTCAGCACCACAGACAGCTCACACCTCATATCGACGAGCACGTAGTGGCCATTCCGTCCACACGGGACACGCGCACACAGACTCAGATGCTGCATTTTGTGCACGGCTGAGCATGAACTGCTGAGACGTGAGGGTCACAGTAACGGTGCCACCAACCGTATGCTGTCGGTAGTTACTTGTCGTTCTGTTGACAAGGGAATCCGTGATGGCCTGGAGAGGAAGGCCGACCATCATCAACGAGCCCGGACAGCCCCCATATGAACACATCTCCAAACTAGCGTCTAGAAGAGCGTGTCATCTGCTTAAACCGGCTTCATGTTGTTTAAAAAGCGTAAAGCCCCATCACCACCACGCTGTTATCCTCTCTTTCTAAAGCATAAGAAGGGAAATGCAGGCAGGATGGTGATGGTTTCTTGCGAGAGGGAACTCAAAACAAATCTGGCCTGTGCCCATCGAAAATGTATGGCCTTTGCATACAAAATGAAGAGCGAATTTGGCATCTGTCTAGATGATCTACCGAGGAAACTGAGCATTTTCTTAATAAATGTAGTCTATAATTGCGACCTACAGTAATAGTAGCATCTAGCCGCCTGAAGCAAAGCTGTAGCATGTGTACTTACTATTAGTTTCGATGCGCTCTGTCAAGATAACAGTTCGTCCTCCGGGTTGGACCCGCCAGGGTAAAAGCCCAGTGTCGGATTATTTGGTAAAAATATGCATCTTTGCAACGATTTTTTATGGCTGTATATAATATGGCTATTAATGTGCAAGCTGCTCCGTGCGTAAACAGAATGTTACAAAAACAAATCGTATCTCATTCGGGCTGTTTCCATGTATTGCAGTTACGCATGGCAAAGGTAAGAAATGACAAAAATCCATACAAAAAATATACATGCACTATATACAAACGCATCCCCATAAACGACGAAACACCGATTCACCACACTCCCCTCCTTTTTTTTCTCTCTCTCCACCCCCCTCCCTCCTCTACAATCTTGAGCTAATTCACGACGTCATGATGGAGACGCACCGTGCGTAACAGTCCCTCGCTCACGCATTTATCTGATTTTTTTTTCCCCCAAGATGAAACGCGCTAAGGACTCGGCCCACAACAGCAAAATATCATAATGAATCTTAAGACGAGGCTTTGGATTGATGATAAGCTTGCGGATTTATCCCACCGTGAATAATTATATCACGGCAAGAAGACTAGACACGGGTGGAGGTGCAGATATGGCGCTGTGGTATTAACACTGACTACATTGTTAAGCCCCTTTCTAAAGCCCCTCGCAGCTTAAGTCAACGAAGCAGCAATCAGTCATTTCTGCAACACTGGTCATCTATTAAATCAAAGCCTGTGGACTTATTTTATCTCCCCTTTCCACCATTGGCCTCTGCTCCTCCTCTGTCATCTATTCTGAGATCAGCATCCTGCTTCATATTTATACATCTGCTGAATAATTGAGGGAAGGCTGGGGAAGACATAACCCCTCTGTCTCTCACTGTCCCTCTCCTGGTATCAGGCACTCACGTCCTGTCATGTCTCTTGACAAACAAATCTACAGTATATCCTTCAACATTATAAGTAAATATGAAAATATGGGAATCAGAGGAGCCCAAGAAGTATGATCTGTTTTATTGATTATAGGTATGACAATGCATAAATTGGAAACAGTGAGGAACATTCTGACTAATTCACAAATGCCATTAAAAAGGACGAAGATCAGTCGTTAAGACACAGGTGAGGGTGAGAGGTGTTTCAGATAAACTGCAACGATAATGACTTAAGCACACAAGGTACACATGTGGGTATCCAGAACATCTGTACAACAAAATTGTCAAATATCCAAATCAGCAACACAATTGTAACTGTACATGTCAATATCTTCCAGCTTTGTAATAATTACATACATTTACAAGTCATTTCTCGACTTTCATTGTTCTGCATCATACCCTTTGACAATCAAAGTACAATATCATAAAAGAAGGAAATACGGAAATCAAAACAAAATATTAATAGCTCTTCAAGTCTCATCGGAAACGGTGCTTGGGTGAGTCAGATTATTAAAAGTCTTTTTTAAAAATCAGTACAGGGCACACACTTGCTCTTTAAATGATTCTAAACAGAACTACAGATGAGTTTACAACAAAGTACTGCTCATGCTAAACTGGTTACTTGTTCTGTGTCAAGGCACACTTCAAATTACAACAAGGGCACATTTTTTTTTAAAAAGGCAAACACAAGAGGAAATTATTTTTCTCCCAAAGAAATCTACATATTCAAATGTAAACAATATCCAAATGATAGAAATTTGGGAAAGGCTTTTGCAGCAGAATACTACAGCATATGACATAAAAAAACAAACAAAAAAACCATGGCTGAGCTTCATCATCTTAGCTTTAACTGTGTCAGTTTTTGTTTCAGCATATAGCCCTGAATACATGTCATAAATGTCTGTCTAATTAGCGAACTAGGAGTGCATGCTGTCGGAGTGGAAACAGTCAAACAGAGTCTCTATGACCTTCAGACTCCACTTCGTCCTCTCTGCTCATCATTTCAGGAATTTTCAAAAAACGCATTCTCTCGTGCCAAAAAATAAGACAAGCGCTACTTGCAGCATGTTACAGGAAATAAATACATGAAATGTGAATCCAAACATGCTTTCACTCTGCACTGACAGAATCGTTTTTGTCATTTTTCCCTGCTAACTAACTCGTCGAGGGTGGATGAGAGCGGGGATCTCAGAGTGTACAGAGAGAGACCCAGCGACCTCTCTACCTTGAAGCAGTCGCTGATAAGATTCGACACGACTGGAAGGGAGGGTTTTGTTTTTTCCGGTGTCGCTGCTCAAACAGGACTTCTGATCATTCTTCGCAGTTCCTTCATGCTCAAGGAACAAATTCTACCCAGAGTTCCTCAGAGGGAGTGAATATACAATATACATATCCTGGAGGGATGTAAGCTCTGTAGAGTCCAGTAGTGTTCTATCTAGGCTGCAATGTTTCCTGTGATCAGTGTCAGCTTTAGAATAATGTGTTGTCAGTCAACATAAGTGTGCTTATTTACACCAAGTATCATACACCTACAACTGCATCACTCCAGTTTTACACTTTAATTCACTGTCTTATACTTTGGTGGGTAACTATGTGTGAGGGATGTTCACCCTCATTTGTATTTTTTTTTTTTTTAACTCACATTTTACTTTTGCAGTGTTTAGAGCAGTTATCTGTGTGGCAGCCTCACAAGCTGAAGCTTCGGTGGTGCTGCTTATAGAACTGCTGCTGGCGCTCTTTGGCCGTGGTTTCCGTCAGCTTGTCTCTTCTGTCTATCACTCCGCCTCTCTCTTTCTCCACCTCATCCCCCGTTACGCTCCCTACATCGCTGAGGTCCCCGAGGTGCTCGATGGAGTCATATTTCTCCAAGTCAGAAGCGATGGTCTGCAGGCTGAAGACCGAGAGGGAATCCGACCCAGCTCGCTCCCTCTCCTTTTCATTCTCCTTCTCCTTGTATTTCTCTACCAGGTCAATGGCTGCATCCACTCGATCTTTCCCAGTGGCACCACCGCCGCAGGCCCCACCTTCTTCCTGAACTTTGACATCGGACTCGGCTCCAACGGGGGGACTACGCCCAGCGCACACAGTGGGGCGCCCTCCCTCGGCCTGGTCCCTCCCCCTCTGAGCATGAATCTGCTCGCTGATTTGCTCCAGGTTTCGCAGGGCGATGGAGTAGCGGGTCTTCACTTTGGCTACGTGCTGCTCTAGCTGCAGCACTTTGGTCTTGTGCTCCTGGAGTCACACACAGGGCACAGCAACTTTCATTATCAATTTCAAAACGGATTTTATGCCAAACAGAAAAATGAACTACCAGTGACCTCTAGTAAATCCATAAGACACAAGGGTATATTGCAAGAGTTTGCAAACTCAGCAGCATATTTACAACTAGGGTTGGATTAACAAAAGAATTCTCATTAGTCGTGATTTTTATTTGAATGATTTAATATTGATCCTTAAAATCCTGAGATCTTGGTCTTTTTATTTAAGATGTACTAAACGATGTACTAAATGCACTAAATGTTCAGTTAAGGCTGCGTGATGTGTAAAATGTCTGCTTTGTGGAAACAGTGATTACAACATGCACCAAAAATTAAAAAGTAACATTGATAATAGCTGGCTATATGAGGCGCCCTGAATCACGAGTTACATATCCACAGACCCACCACAGTTTACGAGACTGTCGTGACTCACATCAATGAGAGGGATAGACAGAAAAAAAAGACTTCACACTGATCTGAGCTGTGTTTGTGTTTGCTGAAGACGTATTATCTCTGGCTACGAGATGGAGGCTGTGAAACAGTATGTGGATTCTACTTTATTCGGTCTGTCCCTGCAGGGTAACTAATACTCACTAGCAGCTGTCTGCAGATATCAGGCTGATGTCTTGTCAGCACAAACAGTGCAGATGAATTAGAGCGCAGACTTTCACTTCCTGCCCTGTCTGTGCTCACATGATCATTAAAGTGGATGTTTGTGTTTAGCTGATGCATCTGCTGCTGGCAGTCCATGTGTAGCTGTGTGGGATAATATTCATTTTTTAAAATATGCATAATGATGATAATCTTGTAAGTGGTGCAGGTTTTTTATGCACAGTCTTCAGTTGCTCTGCAATTTCCAAATAAAATAAATATTTATAACCACGAAATGTGTTTACAATTAAGCCAATGATGTGCACTTAACATAATTTCAATGCAATGAAACAGCGTTGCTCACCAGTTGAACGTAGAGGAAATTTAATTTCTCATTATAAATTCCGGGAAGCACTTTAAGGAACATTGGTTTTTATCTGGTGTAACTGAAACATCAAGAGTCGAATCGAATTGAATCAAAATGAATCAATCCAGGATTTTGTGAACTGAAATTAAGTCTGGAGAATGTGGAGATTAGCACTGACATCCAGTCCTATTTACAACTTGACCACACAAACAGAACCAAACTGTCCTTGTGAGAATGATAGACTGGAAGTAACAGTGCAGGACGCTCTGCACAGAAGATCTCCTATCTACGGTTGCATTACCTCCAGTATGTGGTTGAACTGGGCCTTGAGCTCAAAATAAGGCTTGGACTTCAGGATGACTCTTTTGAGAGACTTTTGCAGCATCTGAACACGAGCCTCAGCTTCCTGACAGGCGTGTGTGACGCGCATGTGCTCCCTCTCACTGCGGAGCCGCTCCTCCTCTGCTTCGTTCACCTGTGAGGGATACGCAGGAGCAGGGTGTTAAAACACACACACATGCGCACACACACACACACACACACACAAAACTGAGGTTATTTTATTAAGAGTAAGTAGAACACATCAACCTTTCTTGTCATTCAAACATCCTCTCCACTAAAGTTTGTAACAAACCAAACAGTCAGTCAGGCCTTGTATGTCCACGTCACTTCTCTACTAAGTTGTTGAAGCCAACAAGACTGTTTCTCATTTATCTAGTTCTTGTAAATATGCTAAAATAAACTAATTTACACTGACTAAGCTTTTTGTCTTATTCATGTCATCATCCAACCAGTGTTAGACAAACTATTTTTTTGTCCTGTGAATGTTTTCTCTGTAAGTCATGCAGCGTCCCATGTGAGACACCACAGAACATCCTGCACTTACAGCACGTGGTCCATCCAACCCAGGACTGGTCTCAGGTCTCATGTCTCATTATAAGTAGGGATGTGCACTGAATCCAGAACCCGGGGTAATTTTAAGGTCAGCTCTTGTACTTGTACTTGATGAAGCCAGTGAGTGTCATCAGCAGAGGGGAAAACATGGTTTTGGTGTAATTTGTTGACATATAACTGGCCTCTCCTCTGCTCTCTGTGGGCAGGGCTTTTATTTGACTCTGCCAGTTACATTATAGTTGTCTACAGGACCCAAAGGTTATTGCATTCTTCAACACTCAAGGGTAGAGGAAACACCACCTGCACCACACAGCCAGACGTCCTGTTACAGTGAGATGGAACAAGATTTCACCCGCTGTCTATTCTGTATAACTGTAACTCATTAACAGTCAGTTTGTGAATGTGTCTGAGGCTGCCAAATATCAGTACCATTAATCTGCATTCATATTTTTACACACACACACACACACACACACACACACACACACACACACACACACACACACACACACACACACACAGAGCAGACAGCACAGCAGAGAGGCCGAGGAGGAGATCAGACTTTCTGGCTGCGATAGCAGTCCCCCTCCCAAACCAGCCCCTCCTTCCTCTACCAGCTGCAAAGTCAATCCATATCAGCAGAAAGAGGGAGGATCATAATAAATCAAAAATACATAAAAAAAAAAAAAAAAAAGAGCTGTAGTATTGATAAAACTCCTAATTATATCCATTCCTACTTATTACCTTAGAGGTTGCATGGTTGAGCATCTCCTGCCAGGTGGGATCCAGGGTGTTCTTGCCATCAGCCATCAGGCCCTGCTCTGCCACATAGACCATCTCCCTGGCAGCTGTGTGCATAGAAACCGCTCTCTCGTAGCTCAAAGCTGCCTTCTGGGTCTCCTGCTGTGCCTACAGAGAGCAGACAAACCTTTTACGCTCCACAGAAGTGGAATATGACAAGAACACGACCCCCTGTTCTGTTAAATCCAATTACAAATCAAATCCCTGTCAAACTGTACTTGTAAATCCTAGTTTTTTTTTATTTAAAATGCTCTAAGTTTGATTAAAGTAAATTGATCAGGCCAACAACAGATAAGAAAACAAATTGCTTTTCAAATACTTTTATATAAATTTGTTTACAATTTCCCAGATAAGATGGACTGCAGTTCACACCTGGCCTTAGAATTAATCATATTTCTATTTCCTGCTCAGATTTACTTTTACATATCGAGACACACGCTTCCCGTCACTGAGTGCAGCCCTCCGCTGTCATCATTAGTCACCGTAATAAGGATAACACACCACTTGTCCTGGGTGCGGTGGAAACATGAAAATGATAATCACTCCGATACAGAAAAACTTGTGACCATCTACATCTTAATCTATGTTGTTTGCTATGAGTGAAGAACAGGGTGTCGGGAATTTATGATGCTATATGCACACTGAAAACAACTCTGGAAAACCTTCAGTGAACCCAAGAGTGCATTTGCAGTAACACTACATTACGTATGTGGACCAAATGCTGTCTGGACAATGTGAGAGCTTTCCACTTCTGATCATGTCAACCCCAAGATGCATTTTAGTGCTCAACAGGAAGAAGACCAAAGGGTGTTGGTCATGCTTAATAATAATGGCCAATTACAAGGAAGTGGAAGTCCTTGATCTGGTAGGGATTAAGTGTCTGGTCCAAGGACGGTTCAGTTAGCTTTGCTTATAATGAGGTTAGAACTTGGCTACCATGGTAAACATGTGCCTCTGCACTATATAAACCTAACTGAATATAAATATGGTGAACTGTAAACTGACACAAAAGATTTCTTAAAGATGTTTGTCTTTTAAAGCAACAGCATTTTAAACAAATGGGACACGTGTATAGACACACGGTGTTTGTCTATACCTCTTTTGCAAGGCGACGAGCTTCATAGTACGGTCTTGCTTTCTCTATGCAGCTGCCAAGCTGAGAGCTCTGAGCATTCAGCTTCCTGGCAGACTCTGTAAGGATCTTCCGGTACCCTGATCTGGCATCCTGGATGGTTAATGCATGAAAATTACAAGATTAGATTTATCTATAATGGAATGACTGATTCAGTTTCACACAGGACAATGGCTAGATGTGAGCAATCAATTCACTGAGTGTCAAACTATAAGCACAAATACATTTTCCATTTTAAGAGTTCTCACTTTTCTAAATGTTATGCTTAAAAGATATTGAAAACAAAATCATCATATTGATTTGCACCTTCTGGGTGGAATAACAACATAATAAAATATTTAGCAACAGAGACAGACTCAAGCAATTCCCAGGGTGGCAATAAAAAAAAGAAAAAAGAAATCACATTCACAGAATTTTCATTGGATCTGTTCGCCATCTTTATCACTCATGTGTGGGAAGACTGAGCTCTATTAGGTTAACAATTATTTTCATAACTACTTATTTTTGATTAGATTATCTTATGATCTTAGACAATTCTCAATTTACCACACCCGAGGTCACATGATGATTCAAAACAGAGAAACAGGAGAACATTTGGCATTGTTTGCTTGATAAGTGAATAACTGTTGCTCAAAATAGTTGCTGATTAAATTTCTATCAATCAAACTAATTTTTACTTACATCCAGCTGCAGTTCTAGTCTGTTGATTTCTGCACTGGCTTCATTGAGGTGCTCCAACTCTTCCTGTGGAAAAAAGAAAAACAATGCACTGATCCTATTAATGACTAGAAAAAGTAAATTGGTAGAACTTTATTATATGTGGCCCTATGTAGCATATATAAGCAATATATAAACATTTAATTAATGGTTTATAACACATTGTAATGTAGTTGTAAACAGATTTAAGTTTTTATTAATGTGGGCACACCTAAGTGGAGGCTGCTGTATAAACAGATAATGAAGGACAATTTACTAAAAGACAGTTGTAATAATAGAAAATGGGAAAAGTTCATTGGAGAAGTTATAATTGCCAACAAATGCTGTACATTAATAGCACTTAAAAATGTCCTTACAACTACATTATATTACATAAACTATTAATTAGTGTTCATATAGTGCTTATAAATGCCAACTAGGGGGACCTAAAGTAACATGTTGCCAATATTAATGTAACTCATACAGCCTGAGTGAAATTAGCTCCAGTTTGTATATCATGGAATTATCATTACAAGCAAATGTAATCAGTTTGCCATTCTTAGGGTGTAGTGATAATGCAAGAGATGCACAAACTGGAATGAAACACCTTTGATAGGTGTGTTGTGCTGCAATGGACATGGAGGTGATATTTATACAAACTGACAAGATAATCAGTCATATCTAACAACTTCTTATGAAATTATCACAAAATACAGATTTAATACAGAAATCATTAAGATGTGTTCATTCTGGCACACAGCTACCTTTGCTGTGGGGATCAACAAAGATTAATCCAGCACTACCCACCCAGGTACCGTTTGGTTTGGTTTCATTTTGTTTTGTAAGACAGCCTACACACACAACACACTTGTCCAAATTTTCAACAAAAAAAAAGAGAAAAAAAGAGAAAAAAAACATGGCTTCAATACAACATGAAACATGCACATAAGAGGCACAGTAGAGACAATACAACACAAACCACCAGCAGCACACAAAGCAAACAAGGTGTTATGTTGAGCTGAACAATTATTCAAAACCACTATATGGCCAAGTGCAATATCCAAATCGCAGGAGGTGTGTTAAGAAGACGTTAAGAAGTGTTAAGACATTTATGATTTGCTGCTAATTATTGACTAGCAGTTAGCAATGTTTAACCATTTTAACAATTTACAGTGTCCTAAACTTCAATGTGTTCTTTTATTAACATCAAACATGTAATGAATCATCATATTTTGTACAATCTGTACAGTACAGTTTCTGCAGTTTTCACCAAATTATAGACTTTTTAAGAACCTTTTTAATACAATATAGAGTGCAATTTAACTCCTTTTTCACAATCACACCAGTCAAAAAAACGATAAAAACAAACAATGGCCTTTAAGTGTTTATTATGTACATGGATTTATTGACATTTATATAACATTTTTATATAACAATTATATCTATATATATTGATATATATTAATTAGTAATCTAAATAAATCTATTTAACGAGACCTGGAGCCATGTATAGGTTACTGAACAGGCCAAGGGCCACAGGCCAGAGGGGTCGGGTGGCCCTTGTACCAGAGCCTTTGTACGAAGTGACTTTAAATATTTCTTGTTTGAAAATCACAGAGTTGAGTGAAAATACTACAAAGGGGCGCCAAATTACCACAAAGAACCTAACCCTAACCCAACGACAAAGACATTAAAAAAGACCAGAAAAAGACAACCACAAAGAGACGTGACTACAAATGTTTTCTGTCTCTTTCGGTAGAGATGTCCTAAGTACTGGAGTGTGGGGGGCCTTTTACTTCTCTATGACCAGGGGTCAAATGTCTCATGATCGTTGATTGATAGCTGGATTAACCAATTTAAAAATTAAAAATAAAAATTTGGTTTATTTAAAATATTGCTCTGATTGACATTTGTCAATTACGAGTCGATGAGCATCCTAGTTAGTGTCTCCTGACAGCCTAAAGTTATAACTAATGTTGATGTGTACGGCAGGCAAGAAAAAACATTCAAGCCCTTTGTAAATTAAATTCAATTCTTTTTTATATCTTCTAAAGGCCTTTGTTTGTGAGGAAACAATTCAGTGCTTTTCACTACCTGCAGATACAGGTGGGCCTGCTATTGTTTAAAATGTCAGAGTCAATAATCGATAATAATCAAGTCAATAGTTAATCATTAAAAAGTGGGCAATTAATATGTTCACCTAGCTTGATGGGGTTAAATGACTACTAATAGAGCAAACATCAGCCGCTGGTTCTCATACCTGGATCCGGGGGTCCAGTTCCTCCTCGTAGGGACTGTGCAATTGCTCTCCCATGTTTTTTTGTTTTTCACTTTCGCCTTCCCCGCTGGTGTCCCTGTGCCCTGTCTCTAGTGCTGTTCCATTGGTCTCGGCAGCTTTGACCTCCTCATCCCCATCCCCACCGGGAATCACCTCCCTCCAATCCCCAGTATCTGACTCCCCGGACCCGGCGGGGCTCTCCCGCAAATCGCCTGGCTCCATTCCAGGCCAGACGGTTTCGCTAGCAGCAGCGTTAGCTAAGGCTTCAGAGGCGGACGCGATGGCTAGTTTACTAACCTACAAGCCCGGTCTTTTTTAACAACGACTGAGTATTATTAAGAAGGGGTAAATTAGAAAAGAATCCCAGCGGTGGCGAGTGTTGAGGAGTTTCCAATCTGCCATATCAAACCACACCGAAACACAAACCCCCTGAAGCTAGTCTAGCATGCTAACAGGCTAACGCCGCTGTGAGAATTTAACGGCTGTTTTACAGCAAACAAGTGAGAACAGAGATGAAACGTAAAAGGAGACCCATCACTATGTCCCCCAATACCATGCGTTTTTATCCCCATCTCTTTTCAGGTCTTCCTTACTTTAGCTAGGCTAGCTAGCTAGCGGTTTCGGTCTCACATCATCATTTCAAGTGAAGTAAACAGAAGGACACTAGTTGTAAGAGAGACGCGCCGTTTGGACCACGACGGCTACCGTACACATTGACAACACTGTCACTGTTATCAGGTGAAACAAACTTTGACTCATGGGTGTCAAATGCAAACCATGGGTTTATTATAAGAACTTATAATAGCCTACATCCATGGTGCGAACTTATACAGGTAAGTTGACATACGCCCTGATTGTCTCATTAGATGTCTATTTGGTACTGTAGTTTTCCCAATGTGTTTCCCTTAAGAAACTTTATTGTCATCTAACGCCAAACTACCGGATATGTATCAAATGGACGGCTGTATGCAAAAGTTTGGACTAATTACATATTTTGTGATTTTTGAAGTGAAAAGAAGCCAATACAACCCTGGCAGCAAACCGAGCCTTTGTTCAAATGGTAATGCTTACTTTTTATTTCATGAACTTAAAAATAAATAAATAAAACTGTGTAATGTGCAAAAGTTTGGGCACCCTACTCACTCAGTAGTTACTAATCCCCCCTGTGTCAACTAGTAAGCACAGGGGTGGAAATATTCTGCTTTGGGGTTGTGTGTTAGCCAGTGGCCCAGTGAACATTACACAGATAAAGGGAAGAATAGATCCCACTAAATATCAGCAAATTCTGGATGCAATTGTCATGCTGTCAGTCGAGAAACTGAAACTGAAAAGAGGCTGGCTTCTTCAACAGTACAAAGATACAGAGCAGACATCAAAATCCACCATGAGCTCTTTCGAGAAACACAAGCTGAAGCTTTTGAAAATAGGTGGGTAGATCTTCAACATGCTGTCCATACAACAAAAATATCGCAGAGCTTGGACTGATCTGCAGGAAGAGTGGGTGAAAAATCCTATATCAAGAATGAAAAGATTTGTAGCTGCTACAAAAAGCATTTGTGAACTGTGATACCTGCCAAAGGGAGGTTACTAAGTATTGATTTAGTAGGGTGGCCAGACTCCTGCACATGCCACAAATAGTGTTTCATTTTTTTTTAAGTTCATGAAATGAAACGTAACAGTGCACTGACATTTGTCTCATTTTTAATGTGTTTGCTGCAGGAGATGTGTTTACCTCTTTTCACTCAAAAAAACCCAAAAACCCCATAATTCAGCCTGACATATTTGTTATTTTTAGGATTTTTAGGATTTTTAGGGATGTTTTATGGGTTTGGCTGTTTGGCTGCACACCCTGAGTTTGTAATATCTCCCTAAAAGGATATTATTAACTGTAACTGAGAACATTGTGTATAAGTGAACTAAATTAAGTAACTAATTACAAAGCAAAATTGTGTATTGTTCTTTTTTTTATTCCAAAAATATACAAACACATAAATGTTGCAGTTTGTAAGGTAACAAAACTGCAAGGATTACAACACTGAAGAATCATTTGACAGGAAAAACTGATTTTAATGAACCACAAAAACAAGAATCAAATGACAGGTTATACTGCAGTTGTGACCAACACCATAAGCAACCATACCACAGATTATGATTTCATATTTATACCAGACATAAACAGTTCATATAGGCTACCAGAAATTGCAAATAATTTAATCAAAAGTGGCAAATTAGGTAATTGCATTGAATGCATAAATGAATGTCATGTGCACAATTAGCATAATATAAAAATAGATCTCTGGTGAATTACAGCAGTTTTGTCTAACAATCTGTTTAGGCTGCATCCTACACTTTAAGAAAAGTTTTGGAATAATGAAAAAGACCTGAGTAGTATTGGCAAAGATCCCTACACCAGAAAGAGGGACAATCCATTCTGCATTATCAAAGACAATGAACTAGAGTACATATCATTCGATCCAAGAGAAAGTTTAAGGACATCACTCTTTGGTCTGGAATGCTCTCCCCAGTTGATATTTAGAGATTACAAAAAGGCTAGTGTACATAGGCTTTCTCCTGGATTATCAGCTCCAGGTCGGATCATACTGGGTCCATCCTGGAGGAGGGGCTAAGTAGATCCTCCTTCCTCTGGAGATGAAACTAACAACTCCTCTGTATCCGGTTCTTGGGACTCCAGACTTCAAGTCATCCATGATTCCCAGGTTTTTGGCCATCACTTTGAAACTGTCCTTGCTTGAGTATTGAAGGCGGAAGGGCCCGGGTCCTTTTAGCTTCCCCTGCTTAACATCTTCATATGTAACAACGGGAGCACTGTAAACTTCCTTCTGAAAAGTTTCTCTGTACGTCTCCTCCTTCAAGTAACTCAGGTCTAACTTGGTGAAAGGCACAAATTCGGTATTCAGTTTAATATAACGCAAGTACTTGTCATAAAATTGACCCAGACTCACACCTTGCCGGCCAAACGTTAAAGTCCGTGAGATCTCTGGGCGGATACAGGCACGGTTGCGGCGCTGCTCTGGCTGACGCATCCAGTCGTCCCAGAACGAAGCAGGCCACTTTGGCTCCAACTCCTCCCACATCTCCCTGAGTAGCATCCACCCTAGACCAGGAAAGAAGTCTGTCCGGTAGAGCAGGTTAGCCTTGCCAGGATCCACATAGCCATCCCTGCCATTGTCATTCCAGGCTGACACACACCAGAGACTGGGGTCGGATTTCAGGAGTGACAGCGAGGCTCGGAAGTACTCAAAGAAGTCTGGCGCCACCTGGAGTAGCAGAAGAATAATTCTGTTTTTGTGACATGCCAACAAGTGAAATCAATTGTTTTAAGGATATGACAACTTATCAGCTGTAAAATATGGAACATATGCAATGTTAATCTACTTATTTATTAATGGGCTTTCATGTATAAGCATTAACTGAAGCAATTTAGTGACAGGAAGTGCCAATATAATTACCTCCAAGTCATCCTCTACAATCACAACAGAGGAGTGAGAAAGGGTCTTGAGCACTTGGTTGAGAGCCCAGTGGTAATGCCTGGAGATTTTGTAGTAACCCTGAAACTTCTTGTGCTCTGGCCGCACAGCGATGTCCGACAGGTCCGGCTGTTTCAGGTGAGTTACTTGATTTCCATAAGAACGGATCACCTCAGCAGTTTCGGCGTGTCCACAGTCCTGACTCACTATGATTGGGTAAAGCTCTGCTGAAGGACGGTGCTGCAGGAGTTTGTCCAGGCAGCGCCTCACAGTGACCCGGTTACAGGCGATAACCAGGATAGGAATGACAGGCTCATGGGGGACCTTGAGCTTCGGTTTGTTTCTGTTTGATGGCTCCCACAGTGACTGGTGACTCTGGATCTGGATCAGGATTTCTTTCTGCAGTTCAAGCTCTGCTTCGAATGTGTCTGCCATTCGGAGCACATCTCCCACCACATCATTAGGAGGATTTTGAGCCTCTTCCCCCTGCTCTTGGCCAGGCTCACCCGGCTGCCCAGGTGGAGGTCTGCCCCACAGCAGAAGCACCAGTATGGCGTTCCAGGTGATAAACAGGAACGTACCACAAAGAATGAGGGAGCCTCTCTTGCGGAGCATGGCCCAGAAACTCAAAGAGAGGGAGGGGGGTCAGGAGGACAGGGTCTGAATAGAAAGACTTGTCCTTGTTACAGACAATAGGAATGGGATACGGGATGGGCAGCCTGTGTAACATCACAAGTGCATGATCAGAGATGTGGAGTCGCACCTTGTTGGCTCACTGTGCAGTTACTAAAGTTATAAGGACACAACACAGTGTCAATGAAGGTGAGGGTGGATGAAACATGAGGAGGGGCAGAATTCATCCTGGAGTTAACTTGTGATTCTGGCAGATTCTCAATTTTCAATATCCTCTTCCATCTGAAATAATAAGAACACAATGTACTTTGAGAAAATAAAGACTGTGGAGCTACAACAGTTAGTCAAGTAATTGATTAGTCGGTCGACTGAAAATTAATCTGCAACTATTTTTACAATCAAAGTATTTTTTTTATTTTTTAGCAAAAATAGTTTTCTCTGGTTCCAGCTTCACAAATATGAGAATTTGACACTTTTCTTTGTCATATATGATAGCAAACTGAATGTCTTGGCATTCTGGACTGTGGGTTGAACAAAACAAGCCATCTGAGGATGTAATCCTAGACTCTGGGAAATTGCAATGTGCATGTTCACTATATCACTATAAATTATCTTCTACATTAACAGTTAAATCTATGAAATGTCAAAAAAGAAAAAGTGAAAAAAAAGTTCATCTCAGCTTCACAGGATCCAAGTTGAAGTGTCCAAATGTCTTATTTTGTTTGATCACAAGACCAAAGACTGAAAGACAGAAGTTTATAATAATATATGACAAAGGGAAACAACCATTTGAGAAGCTAGAACCTAATATGTGTATAATGGAGAAAATGAACATGCAAATAATAAATACGTGTCGCAGCCCTAAACGACTGCTATAGTTAATGACTACAGAGTGGAGATAACACAACACCATACAAATGAAACTTCGAAATCAGGCAAGCATGTGATCGTTTCCATTTCGTGGGAAGTTCATGTGAACCGGAGTGATGAATCACCCAACTGTCGCTGATCGATTTTCTCCTATCACCTGTGGCTGCCTCGCCAAAGCAGCCAAACGAGTTATTCAGGTTTACAAACAAAACAAAAATCAAAACAAAAAACAAAACAAAACTATTCTATAAACGGCGGGTTTCGACTCCCTGCAGCTCGACAGATGTAAATACTGAAGGTTGAGGAGGAGCGTGCTGAAAATTAGCCCTTACCGTGACAGTGCGACCACTTCTCCCTCCTGCTGCCATTTCTTCCCCCGTTTCTTCGATGACAACCGGCAAAAGTTGAACGGCAGAAACCGTCAGCTCGGGTGGAGTCGGTGTAAAAAAAATGCCCTGTCGCTAGTTTTCCGCCCACTAAGGCAACTACTTCACCCCGCTTTAGTTTGTCTTGTTTCTCGCAAGCCTGGAAGAAGAGGAGGAGGAGGAGGAGGAGAAAAAGTAACACGACGACTTCCTGGGTAGAGTCAGTGAGGGGAAGTCCCGCCCCAACTGTCACCTTGAGAAATGACACGACGCTTTGACGTCTGAGCTGCTCTGTGCGGAGCTCATTACAAAAACCACGGCTTTCTATATGTTTATGAAGATTTATCCTCCGCTTTCACACACACTCTGGCTCCGACATGTTCGTTAAAGAGACGGGTGGGCAAGAAAAGGGAAGGAGGGGTGGATTGTGATTAAATATAGACCTTGTTACTGTAACAATATCCCCTTTTTTCTGGCTTGGCTGCAGAGATATATACGCATGCAATTTGCATATGGGAAGAAAGGCAAATGTATATTGCTTCCTCTAACTACCTGATAACAAACAGACAATATAACGGTGTTAAAAGAAGGGTTTCGTTTCTTTTTTTTAGAAATAAATTCGAGGTAAAGGTAAATTACATATTTAGTGGATTTTTTTTTTAAAGTAAACACGATCCGTGATCCGTACTTTACTTTTGGGCTGTTTTACTGTGAAACTGATTACATGTTTCATTTGTAAAAAATCTACATGTAACTACAGCTATCAAATAAATGCAGTGGAGTAAAGAGGACAGTGTTTTCATCTAAAATGTCGACGTATGACATAAATGGATAAGTTATGCATGACTAGGCCGACTTAAAAAAAATAGGCTATAGCGTGTTAATATATATTAAATTAATGGATTGTTGTTATATATGCATTAATGTAGAAGTATCGATGGACCATTATGAGATGGAGCTAATGTTGTCTGTTTATCATTGGTTAATATAATCTATAACTGATCTATCTGTAACTAATTTAACTAATATAATATTATTCTGTGCAGTAACCAGTAACTGCAGCTGTCAAGCGCTAAAAAGTTCAACATTTCCCTCAGATATGATAATGAAGAAGTATAAAGTGGCATAAAATGGGAATACTGACGTTAAGTATCTTACAACTTGCGTAACTTCCACCACTGCCAATAGCCCATTTGATAACGTAACACTGACAGGTGCTATTCTGCATCATGTGAGTACTTTTACTTGAGAATCCTTCAAGTACATTTACTGACAACTTCTGCCACTTTTACTAATGAGAAAGATCTTAACTACTTCTTCCGACACCGTATTTCAGTGATCACAGTCACGACTTTCATAATCCTGAAAACTGGTGGATTTATGTAAGTGACCTTCCACTGGCACTGGATATTTATTAGGCTCTATATTTTTATGACAACACATTTAATAGTTTAAGACAAGAATAAGTACATTGTGTTTTACAGTTTTTACTCAGACTTGATTTGAATATTTACCTTTTGTGAAAGTTTAAATCCTTCCAAAAGGAAATTTTATTCCACAGTATAAGCTTTTGTGCGAAAAGGGTCAGCTCAAAAATAAAATGTACTGACATATTTGAACTGGCTTAAGTAAAATGTGAGACTACATTCAGTACAGCTGATTTCTTACAGTATTACCTTTACATACTAAAGGAACAGCAAAAAGAAATACCCTAAAAACAACCATCAATCTTTTAGGCTATCACGGGGTTGAAGTCCAGATGTTGTGTATTGTGAAAGCCAAGTAAAAATCAATAAATAATGTTGGATCACAGTTTGGTGCTGAGGCCTTGGACGCTCTCTCAGTCAGGTCTGTCCTCTGTGATCGTCTGTCCACAGCCGGAGTTGTCCTTGGAGGAGGTGCGACTGTGGATCTGTCCATTTGCCTGAAAGAGGAAATGGTTTCGTATAGTAACTAACATACTGTAAATGACATATTCTATTGTTAAAATCATCCAATCAGCCTAAGTCTTAGCTATAACACTCACCTGCAGGGGATAGTTTTTGATGATGTTCTCATCCTGTTGGCACTGCAGATGCTTTGGCGCATCACCAGAGCTGCTGCTGCACTTCCACAACACTGCCAGCTTCAAAAACAGAAATTCTGACACCAGGGCAGTCAAAGAGAAGCAGGTGCTCTTCAAAGTTGACCAGCCCGTCAAGACGAAAGACGGTAATTGTCCTGCGTTTTCCATAAAACATGGGGACGTTATGGACACTTTCAAAACGCCAGCCGGGAATTCACTGATTTCCTTAAGAAACGCTATTGTACAGATGTGTGCAACACATGTGTCGTATTTGATCATCTGGATGATTTTAGAGCATTTATCTATCCCAGGCAGGTCAGGTGTCAGCTTGTGCGCCAGCTGACGCACCAGCGCGTTTTGGACCCACGGCGCAGCGGAGTGCGCGTCCCCTGGGGAATGCAAACGTTTTGGATAATACAATTTATTCATTTCCCTAAATTCTTTTTTTCTGAACATTTTACCGCGGACCTGGGACGACTTATACGCTACAGTCAGTCTTCCTCCCACCGCAGCACGCTCTCCTCGGAGAAAAGCCTCCCACGCCGACGCCTGGTTTGACCGGTTGCGCTCAACTGGCGAGTCACGCATTGCCCCGCCGGCCAGGCCGAGGCTGTACACCGAGGTGGCAGGCCGCTTGGTCGGCGGATTCCGGGTCCAGAAGTTCCCCCGACACCGGAGAACAGCAGACAAGGCAGAGGCGGAGGGAGTGGAAGCCATAGTGGTTGATAATATCCACAACAGACCCTTCCTAAAGTTTCTGATGTTCAGTCTCTATCCAAACAACCAACATAATGTATAAAGGTTAATTTGCGTAAGGAGTGGATTTGGGGTGGGGGTGGGGGGTCTTTTCTGGTCTGGTCCACCCGACCATATTTGCCTCGATACTCCTTAAGGGAGGTTCAGGGGGGTGTGTCTTTAGGCATTGGTGGAAAAAGTACTCATAACTAGCCTGGTAGCCAAAATTTTGAGAGTATTATAGGCTGGCCTCTGTATAACAGTATTTAAATGTTGTGGCTGGTCATGGTTGCGTTCATTTAAATGACTCTATACTGTTGAATAGTTAAATCTGTAACAAAGATCTTGTTTTATGAAGCCATGACATTGTATGTTCATTTGTTCAAGTAGGCCTTCTGTACAGGTCTGAGGTACTTTACTTTTTAAGATTGATTTCTGCTATTTTCTCCTGTAACACCAACCACAGTCCAGAGGGAAATGCTTTTACTTTTTAGTTCAAATTTACGGCTAAATTTTCAGATTTTACATTTAAAAAAAAAGACTTGATTATGCTTATAAATAAAACTTATTGTGAAAGATGAAACCAGTGGTTTGCAACCTTTTTGATCAGTGACCCCAACCAACACAAAACAAAGTGGTGTGTCTCGTTGGGGCCTTTGGATTATCATGTTTTTGAGGAGTTCCTTCCTCACGTGTCGTTTAAATGACCAAAGAAAGAGGTCGGCATCTCCAATATTTCACAAAAAAGAAAAGACACAATACAAATGTGTGTAGCACAACTTTGTAATTTCTTCTTTCTAGACCACTGATCATCTCTCGACCTCTCAGATTCAGCCTGCGACCTTTTGGAGGGGCCTGACCCGTAGGCTGGACACCACTGGACTAAACCACCAAACTGTATAAAGTAGCTGTAACAGCTACAACAGCTACAAAATGCTGCATATTCATTGATGCATCAGTATTAACAATCTAATCATGTGACATACAGATATGGGGACCGACTTTTGACACTTCATTTTTTTACCTCTATGAATGCAGGATTTCCATTGTAATGGAGCATGTTTACACTGTGGTATTGGCACGATCTGATTGGCTCATATTATGCTTTTTATGTAAGATCTGAATTTCCAAAGTACAAATGTAGTGGAATACAAAGTACAATATTTCTCTCTGAGATGTAGTGGAGTAGGAGTGTTATATAGTATAAAATGGTCTTTGGGGGGTGTGCAGGGGAGGCACGTGCAATAGTCTTGTTATTTCTATATAAAAGCACCTTTTCCAAATGTCTCTATACAGCATTTATCCTACTGCTTTTTTTTTTTAACTCGCCTTCAGGCAGCCACTGAATGCTCAGCTGCTAAAAGACTGCAGGTCGGACAGGCTTAAAATCTCACATGCCTCATTTTTCTCTTCTGTCATTCCTGTAGTGTTTGTTGTAGACTTTCGTGAATTACTTGTTTTGTCCTCCCCACAACCCCACGTCAAAGAGTTGGATGGCATGTTTGCAGGTGATCCTGTATCTCCTCTCATTGCCAGAACTTTACAGCTGACACTCCTGAGTGAGCTGCAGAAAAAATGCTAAGAAGGTTAAAAGCCTCATGTTGCCAAACAGGTTTGTCTGCCTCAAAGCAAAGAGGCACAGCTGAGGAGAAACTCAGTATTCAAGCCAACCTCTTTAACTCGTCTGTTTACACCACTAGAGGGTATCAGGTGTCTAGAGAAGACGTGCAGGCTTCTGAAACTGGCTAAACAAATCTGCATCAGGGAAAGGGACAGGAACGTCTCACTATACTATAATCAGATGGAATATATAGAAGCAGGAATCAGAGCAGTTAAAAAGCAAGTTGGCCATTATTTAATTTCCAAATGATATTTTTAAAAAAATCCAGATTATCTTATTGAAATAGAATTGTCATCACGTGTTTTGGAAATCCTGAGCGAGGAGTTTTCAGTGTCTCAAACAAGGCTTTATTTGATGATACGACGGGGAAGTCAGTTCTTACGAGGGAAAAGAGAAAATATTTACAAATATATAAATCATCTCTGGCTATGTACAGTGAGCTGCTCTATAAACACATAAGATCTAGAAACCCTGAAGTGGTTATTGAGCTCAGACTGATGCAATCAAAAGATTTAGTGCATTTCAACATTTACAGCTTATTCAGCATTATGAGCAGTTTTCTTTTCTTTTTGTTTTTACACACAGAATTTCTTTCTGGTTTTCACAGTAATCACAAACATGCTCAGAAAAGAACACAAAGGTAACAAAAAAACAAAAAACAAAACATGTGTGTTTGCCCTGTGTGTGTCCGTCTGTCCCATGTTTAAAAAAAAAAAAGTTGCTGTCCTTGTTTTCCTTCATTTCTTCACGTCACTGCAGGTGAACCAGCTCGAACGTGTCCCAGTGCTTAGTTTGTTTCCTTCCTTCACCATTACTCACCAAGAGGGAAAAAAAGGGAGGCACAAGTATCACTGAGAACCACAACAAGTCTTTGCGTGATCGGCCCTGCCCCCTTCAGGGTGTTGTGAGTCTACCTCCGGTTACTTGGGTACCGACGAATGTTTGGTTCAGTGTCGGAACAGGCCTCCGCTGGATCACGTTCGGTATGATCACAAAGGCCAGAATCCCCACCAGCATGAGGGCCACAGTGATGGTGATGATGGACGCCACCACGGCGTAGTAGCACTGGTCCGAGCGGAACAACCTGCGCAGGCGACCTCTCACCCTGTTTGGAGGCCTGCCCACGTCCACCACAGTGGTCGGCACTATTCCCTGCTCCACTGCACTCAGGTGGAGGTCACCACCTGCGGTCACCTGCGCATCCTGACTCTTCTTGGGCAGGGCGAGGACAGTAGACTTGGTGGGGCTGGTGGGAGGTGGGTTCTTCAGGACCAGTTTGCCCTTTCTGCGCTTGAAGCGGATGGACAGTGCCCTCTGCATGTCGGGCGGGAGTTTGCCTATGATGCCCTCATTGTTGCCCAGGCGGGGCAGGTCCTGGCCGTGGGGGAGCTCAGTCAGCTCACGACACACGGGGCAGGACAGGGCCTTGAGCTCAGGGGAGGTCACGTTGATGCGAGCGAGGCACTCCAGGCAGAAGGTGTGCCCGCACGCCAGCAGCTTCGGGGTCTTGAAGACGTTGTCGTAGGAGCAGAAGCACACAGCGCACTCAGTGTCCTCCACATCATCCTCAGGGGGCTTCACCTTCCTCCGGTCGCTGTCCCCCTCTCTCCTGTCTCGTCTCCGGGCCTCCTCACTCCTCCCGCGCTGTCTCCTCTCTCCCTGCTGCCTGTCTCTTTCTCTCCTCCTCCCTCTATCCACCCTCTCTGAGTCGGTGCTCCTGGATCGCCTCACTTTCGGAGTGCTCGCCCTCTTCCACTGGTTCTCCTTGCTGTTCTTCTCTTTCTGGCCGAGTTTGGGTTTCACGTTGGGGGCCTGTCTGGCTCCGTGGCTCTGGCTCTGGCTCCAGCGCTCTTCGGGCCAGTGTCTCTCCCTGTCATCGCTCATGTTGGAGGGAGGATGTTAGAGGTAGAGTGCCGGCTGGAATCTGCTTCCAAACAGAAGCTGCGGAAAATAAGGATGGGTGATGGATGAGTTTTCTCAGAAACCAGGTGAGACGGAAATGGACTGTTGGAATTCACCTGCACAGTCACCACTGCTGTTGCATGATGATGAAGCAATAAAGCCTAACCTCTTGCTATCTAACATCTCTATTGTATTAAAATGCTGTGTTTGCTTAATAGGCTTTCCTGCACAGAAAATCATCAGCAAACACATCTGTAATGAGGAACTGCAGAACTCGAGGCGCTACAGATAGATTTTAGTGCATGAGGATTTTATGATCCTGCTGCGTTAATGGATCAAAACCTGTAAAACTAAACCAAGGGTGACATCACAGCTCCATTGTTTTCAAATAGCAAACATACAATCATACCCATCAGTCTTTCATAGTCACTCATTAACTTGAAGTGTTTAACCCAGAGGAGGATCACACCTCATATATTGGCAGCTGTTTTTCTTCCAAGTTGTAGAAAAACTGGTTTGACATTTTCTTATAATTAAAGCTTTAAAAAAAAAAAAAAAAAAAAAAAAAAAAAAAGTGAAGTTCTGAGTTTTCCAGAGAAAAACTTCCGTGTTATGACAAAGAACAGGGAAGACAGAATTTGTACACACACACACACAAACACAGACACAGACACACACACAGAGAGAAAGACACACACACACACAGACACAGAGAGAGAGAGACACACACAAACACAGACAGACACACACACACACACACACACACACACACACACACACACACACACACACACACACACACACACACACACACACACACACACACACACAGACCTGCTGAGGTAGATGAATGTCGGATCACGTCGTCAGAGATGGTCTGACAGGTAAAATAATCCTCTTGTGTATCAGTGCAGTAAAAACTTGCACAACAGAAAACTTCATTACTAACAAGAAAGAAAGACTTGACTCAGAAACTCTTCTGGTGTCTCTGCAGTCCCTGCTCTCCTCCTCTGTTAGATTCTTTCCTCTCATACCTTCTTGTCTAATTGTAACATAGCACTGCCTCCTCTGAACCCTCCTCCTCGCTGCCTCCTGCCCTCCCTTTACATCCTCTCCCTCCCTCCCTCCCTCCCTCCCTCCCTCCCTCGTCGGACCAGTTGGACCAGCTGTTGTGAGCCAGCGTTTTTTACGGTCTGTGTGGGATATGTAGATAATCAGGCCATTTACTTAGATAATTCTCATGTGTCCACTCACACAGCAGAAGCTGTCATACTGGCATCACATTACTTATAGAGGCAGCGCTGACAGTGATTACATCTCAATTCTCTTTTTAAAATCAATCCGCCTTAGTTTTTGTGTCTCAGCCTGTGTAGTTTAAACTCAGCCTTCAATATCAGATCTGGTGTCGTTGGAATGAGATCTATGCGAGTGTATGTGAGATACAACTCAAGAAAAACAGCAGTGACTGCTGGGAATATTCCACTGTCGCTGCATGAAAAGACAAAAGGTTCAGTACTGTCAACACTGCACTCATCAGGGCCTCATACCTGTCATACCTTCACCTGTCGCTTTGTTGGTTTACCATCCAAACAAGAACGACGACGTAGCTCAACCTGTCCTCACTGCTCAGTCCTACTCACTCACTCCTCCTCTGGGCTCTGTGAATATGTGAGAATACTCGTGACAGTCAAATCCATGTGGAGATTTAAATATTTCACACTGAACATCAACAGCATTAAAAATCACACGGGGCAGTTTTGTTTGCTCTGTCAAGCAGCGCTTCCTGAAACCAGCGATGCGTCACTCTTTATCTAACAAAAACATGCTGCTCTGCGACGGCCTCTGACGGGACGTAAGGCATAACATGTTTGGTTTTGACTTTAAAAGTTGAAAATGAACACACTGGGGGTATTCCAAACTAGAAATTAGTGAGTTAAAATGCCATGTCAATAGTAATAGTAACTCAGTCCCTTTGTAGGTCAATGTAATCAGCATGACAATAGGATCATAAGAAGCCATTCAAATATGACGTCTAAATATAACTTGTTGGACGGTGAGTTTCCTGGTGAGATTAAACCCAGAAGAATAACCTGAATTAAATCTCAAAATTAATAAATACCAGTGTGGTGACTAAATACTGAGCTGAAACAAACCGACTGACACACTAATTCTACTCAGCAATTTAGGCAAAACAAAAGCAGATGATTGTAAAAGTTTATTGCTCTAGAAAAATGAAAATAAACAAGGCGCCTCACGTGAGTGAAACTTATTGGTGGAGACAGTTTGACAGTGTGCTGCTTTCACAAATGCAAAATTTGACAAAGCCTGTTCATTTACAGCAAGTCAACAAAAGCTACTTGCTGGGGGGCGTTCACAAGCAGCTGAAAAAACAAACCAACAGTCTTACGTTCATTAATGAGCTGAAAAACCCAGAGTGAGTCCGTACTGCTGTTGCGGGAAACTCAGATCCAACTGCACTAGTTTCTTTGTAGTGGCCCCGCTGACGCAGCTGGTTTATGATTAAACAAATCAGTAGGTCTGTGACCCACTTCTCTCTGGACCCATCACTCTGCTCCATGTGTCTGCATTCAGGCGACTCTCTGCAGCCAAAATTGGTCCAAATTTACAATGTTGAAACTGAGTGAGCACTGTCAAAAAAATGCCATATCACGCTACAGCAAAATATTGTCACATGTGAAAACAGGCAGCAAACATGTAGCTGTTTATGTACTGAACTGGTGCCACACACAACTACATTTCCACACTTTTCCTCTTTATTTTTATGCAAATTGCAAGCATTCAAAGTCATTTCCCCTACGTTCACCCTGCCCTGAGAGAGGAAGGGAGTGTGACCCCAGTGCTTTGTATGGATCTGTCCCCTGAGCCCTTGGTCTTCTCTTCAGCCCAGCTCTTCTTTAGTTTTACCCTGCTTGCGGGGCATCTTCTTGCTGCTGCTGTCCTCCAGCTCTTTGCTTTTGTAGTAGTGAGGAGCCACTTCAAGCAGCCAGCCGCTGTCTATCTCAATCACCTGCATGCAAGGGAGACAGAAAATGCAATGTGATACTGATACGGGAAGGAATAAAGTTAAATATTGTCCAGGAACCTGCATCAAACTTCCTCATTAATGTGCTGTCTCATGCCCATAAGCAGTTATTCTGTGGACACCTTTATACTGGACTTAATGGGAGGTGTGACTGTTATTCACATTTTAAACTGTAGCTGTTTTATGTGTTTAATGATTTTCTGCCAGACGATCAAACAAGCCTCTGAAAAGCTGCTACTGAACCAGCTCCTGACACTGCAGAAGTAAACTACATCACATCCTGAGCAGGCTGACCTGTCTCATGAACTCCTTAGTGGTGAAGACCAGCTCGTGGTAGATGAGCCAGCGGGGCTGCTCCTCGAACAGAGAGCTGTTGGGGTGGACGTAGACCGTCTGCTGGTGCTTCACCGTCTTGTAGCCGCCTTTGCTCAGTCGTGCCGTGTGATAGAAATATCCTGCAGTCACCGCCTGGGAAGAGGGGGGGGGGGGTTAAACAGCTGATACATCACATCGCCATACAGGGTAGAAATCAAGGTGACCACAGCAGCGTTACACGAAAGGAGGACTATTAAGATAAAGAGCAATAATGTGAGAATGTACTTGTGTAATAAAAACCAAATCATAGTTAACTGTGTCTTGATCCCTATACATGACTACCTCAGGTAGGTCACAGGTGGACGTGGTGATGGATGAATATTTATATATATGTTTTCAGGGAAAAATGACAAGTCACAAACAAAACAGATGCAAATTATTTCTTCAGTAGATACAATTGTAAATAATCTATAAATCCAGAAATAACGAGATGAAGAAGGGAATGGAAGAGCAAATACAGCAGCTATTCAATTCTCTGGTTGAGTCAACATAACAAATGACTGGACCCTCCAGTCCAACACAACATGGATACTGCATAATGCACTCTACTTACCAGAAGAGACTTCACTGTGTTATTTCAACAAATGGATCAAACTGTTTTTTGTTGAAATTAGTCATTTTTTCTATCTATGATTGATGAATTAATTCCTGATTAATGAGCCCAGTTTTTCTCTCTCTTTCTTCTCTTTCTCTTTAAATTGACTCTGATCACAGTCACGGACGCAAACACAATTCCAGCTGCTCAACATCTGATCCTTAACCAACTTCAACTCGACGCAGACAGATAATCACCAGCTGGACACGTTTAATCAAACTAACTTCGGCCAGGTGCCCGACCTGCAGTGCATGAGTTTTTCCTTCTTCCATCCTCATGTGACGGTCACTGATGGAGCAAGTTCGTTTCTTCTGTTCGCTCTTGTAAAAACTCAGCTTTTCCTGTTTTTCCTCGACATTGCAACGCAGCAGAGCGATGGTGCGATGTAATCGATCAATGTCAAGTACTGAACTGAGTCAGATCCTGACACATCCCTTTCATGAATTAGATGACGGTCTAAAGAATTGGCTCACTCCCTAATTGTGTATATTAGCACCTCTGCTGGTTTTCCCTGAAGCTTAACCGTTTTTCATTACTGCGTCACGCAAACCAATCCAGGCCGACAAAGGTTAAGACAACACCAACGCATATAAGGCAGAGGTGGAGTGCTGAGTGTACAATAAGAGAATCACCTTTCACAGTCACACCTTCATGGTCTAGTTAATAAATCCTGGTTGCACAATTAATCAAAATATTATTGAAATCGCAATATGACCAAGTGCAATATCCAAATCAGAGGAGCTACAAACGTTTTGATAAAAAGGTCAAATGTGTCACAACAGACCATAAATGAAGCATTGTGGTGCTACAGAGACGCACCTGGCTTATAAATCATGTTCTCCGGATGTAATGGAACATCATCATCACCATCTTTATATTTTCTTTAGTAAAAATGACCATTCCAACTTAAATCATGATTCATATCACCATTGCAATATCTGCCAAAATGATCGCAATATTATTTTTTAGTTGCTTATCGTTGAGCCGTAGTAAATACTTATTTAAAAATTGTCCATCTCATCTTCTTTCCAGGCTTTTCAGATAAAGGGATCAAACTTAAAACACATCAGAACTAAGTTAGCTCCCTGAAATCATCATCATTTTTACAGTATGAAAGAAAATAATGACTCATTTTCCACTTAACCCACTTCACAGCTCTGTCTCCCTCCTTCCTAACAACCTCAGTGGAAAAATACCAGTTCTCAACAGTGCAGCTAACCGACAACTCTTTTGTCTTCTAGATAAACCAGATGCAAACATATGATTCACAAAGGTGAAATCGAATCTCCTGATGTTTCATAAAACACGACGACAATGTAGAAATAATATATTTCTGTTTTATATCAGCTTGAATGTGTCTTGCTCGAGGAAACTACAGCACCGTTCAGACAGCAGATAATTCTGTATCAGGAGCGTCGAGTCATTCACTAGTTTCGTAGTGAAGGTGGGTTTCATGTGGGACTAGCTAACACACACCATCCACACACACATCTCCACTCCAAACATTCAGACCCTAACCCTAACCCTGCCTCTCCAGTCCTCTTTTCACTGACGCACTTGGTCTGTTCACACCTGCTGTGATCTAGACCAGGTGGTGTTGGGTGTGTTCACAAAACTAATGCTTCGAAGAGGACAGCATGTCACTTACATTCATTTGACAGATAATATCTGTCACACACTAGTCATGCGGTGGATACAGTAAAGATACACTTGTCTGTCATTTCGCCTTAAAATGTTCTAAACATTTTCACGGGACTAATTCAGTTGGTTTATGTTTGTGTGTGCAGGCAGCGTGGAGATGTCAGCTGACGCGGGGGTAGGGTGGAGGTTTTCGGTCGTTCAGTCGAGGCGTTCGTCGTACGGAAGTTGGAAAAGCAACAGACGCTTCCCGACTTACACAAGGAATAAACTGAAGGACACGAAAGCCACTTTATGGAACTCAAGAAGTAAAAAAAGAAATATAAGCAACAATACCTTCTAAAGCAACACGTTTTCTTCAGACGTCAATAATAACATTAAGTGTAAATAGTTTGAATATTTACTGAACTATTAATTAATACCCAGATAGCAAAATAAACACACTTGGGCCACATGCTTGTTTTCTTCTGGCCCAGAATACGCCCGGGTTGCACGGCCCGAATCTGGCCCATATACAGCACGATTGTAAGACGCTACTTCCACATCTGAACCAATTCTTTCGAGCACACAGAAAATCTTCCGGCTGTCAGTCAATATCGAAAGGTACCGACTAAGGACTCTGCCCATATGTGGAAGTACATGGGCCAGACTCCGAGGACTCTTGGGAACAAAATAAGTTGTGGGATTACTTTTAGCCTATTTGGCTGCAAGATTTTTGACACACACAAAGTCAGCATGCGTTGGAAAAAGGTGTAACCCAGCTAATAAAACAAACGCCCTCGCTTATCTCAAGTGGTTTAGGCGTGCGTTCACAACACATTTAGACCCTGATATGAGAAGGCGATTGATACAGCTCAGGTCAGTGATAACTTACAGCTTTCTTCTTAGATTTCTGTTCATATTTTGAATTTTCAGAACAATATAGTCTCTCTGGACTAGTATCAGCATTTTGTCAAAACTCTTATGTGACAGTTTCCACCTGCCTGAAGTGAAGCAAACACAGGGGCTGTATCTGAGGGTGACTCTTCACCTTTCACCGCCCTAAGGAGACATGAGGGCTAAAAGATCGACTTCGGAAGAAAAAAAAAAAAAAGGGTCATGTTGACAGCAGCTTGTCAAAGCTAAATTAAGCAGCTTCCCACCTTGAGGCCTTTAGTGTATTATTAGCCCTGCCCTCCACTAGTTCAAGTTTCAAACACTTATCACTCATCTTCAGTTGTTTACCTTGAACCAGTGTTAAGTCTGGAGTTGAGTTACTAACATTCAGAAAAGAGGCAATACTGAACTCAAACACTGTTTTCTTTTTGATTTTAAAAAAGATTTTCACTATGCTTTTGAATCAGGTCTTAAATGCAGGATTATTTTTGGCATCTCGCATTCCCACGTGGGGCGGACACTTGTATGTGCATGACACAAAAACTAACTAACAGCTGATTGCATCTACACAACATGCTCACGAGACGTGGCCAAACCAAAGAGCGGCCATGTTCACGCTGAGCCACAAACACACTCATAAACTGAAGCATATCCTCTTAATTAATATCAGGAACCAAAGTTGAGACTCCACTGTGGTAAAACTCTGACTCTGACTTTCTCAGCAGCACTAACCTTGCGAATGGGCACATTGTCTCCCTGGGAGCTGACCACCTCCACCTCTATGCGATCCATCAGACCCTCCAGCTGGTCCCTGACATCCCGGGCTCTTCTCATGGAGCGAAACTGGATGAAGTTCTCGTAGCACCACTGTGTGGAGAAGCCGCTCTCCAGCCACTGAGGGAGAAAGACATTGTGAGCGCAGTCAGCACAACACCTGGGTTCAAGGTGGGAATGGGAATATCTCAAGGGCTTTTTAGTTTCCATAAGCAATAGCTGTAAATCAACGGTTCCTAATTTAGGGGACTAAGAAGGGGTTGCACGATGAACCTGAGCTTTTGTGATTTGTATAACAGGACAGGAATGCAGAAAGTCGCTCCTCTAATCTTTGTTTTAGCCACGCTACGGACGTTGGTCTCGGACGATGAATACTACCACTTTGGTGATTCCCTGAGTTTTAATCTGGCGTCATGAGCAGCTTGACATTTGTGGTTTTCAGTGAAATATCTAAACCTGCTAAATTTATTGTCATGAAATTTGGTACAGATGTTCATGTCTTCCTCGGGATGTACCACAATAACTTTTCAGCATCATCAGGTCAATATTTTTATTTGTCCAGACTTTTGGTTTACGACCAAATACCTGTAAAAGTAATGACATGCCAAATCAAATTAAGAAATGTTGAAATGAATGTTGTTGAATTACTGTATAAATCCATAAATTAAAAATAAAGAAGAGGGAAAAAAACACTCTTTGGTTGATGATGGTAGACCTACGCATCCTGTGACAAAAGGTGATATAGTTTTGTTTTAAAGTGCTATTTCAATATTTTTCAAGCAACTGTGCATTCACAGTATTAAACTATCAATCCCGTCTTTTGATGAATAATTCTGACAATAAGTTACAGGTTATTAACTTTTTACATGTAGTAGACTACAGCTAAGTAGGATACGTAGTAAACTATTCTAAAAAACGGAAGGACTGTCAAGAAGAGATGGTGGGAACCTTGTTTCAGTGTGCATACACAAACCATTTGCATACAAGCTCACAGAAAACCTGAAAGTTTGGTAGTTTCCTATTTTCATGCAGGAGGGTTAGACACAAATCATGAACACAAACGCAGTTCATAACAGCAACACAGCAATAATTCCCACCTTCTAGGATCAGCTCTAACAGTCTGTCCTCCTCATGTAGGTAAATGGACAAAATATTTGCAAAGACCTTTTACTGTGGCCTTGAAGATGTATGCAGAATCTACTCCACACGTCTCTGATGCTATAAGCTTCATAAAGACCGAACATATCTTCAGGCCAAACTGTTTATACCTGTGTGTAGACGTTGAGCAGCACCAGGTGGTCTCCCCCTGGCACCACAAAGTTCATCCTGGCGTTGTCGGCGTGCACCACTTTGTCTTTGGGCCGGTAGAAAATAGAGTTGTTCACCGACAGCATGGCTGCTATTGTCAACACTTCCTCTGAACACTTGTACCTGGAGAGCGGCACAGAAGGAAAGTGAAATAGAAATACAGTGAGATGCAAAGAGAGATGAGAAAGCAACAACAGTATTCCTTCCTGATACAAGTTTCTCTTTTAACTCCCAAGCATTTACTAATGAGTTGCCAGTTTTAAGGCCTCGTATTCAAACAATTTCAGACAATGTGAATCATCCACATCCAGCGACTCACTTCCTTTTATTGACAAAGGTCAGTAAAGGAAAATAAAACTCATTTTCTACTTCTCACATTCTTCTTCCAAAACAGCAAACTGACCCGTTTCAATATGAGAACCTTTATTGTCTTCGATAGATTTTCAGTAAAACAATCACGCAGCTGTTTACTCACAAACTCATCTGCTTATTTTTCCTTTAGCCCTGCAAATCACTTTCTCCCTTAGAGATACAATATCTTCTGTTAATGCTTAAGTTGGAGCTCCCTGATTATGAATAAGTTAACTCCTGGAGTAACTTCCATCACCCCCTAGTGCATAATCAAGAACTGGACAAATACAAGCCTGGAGGAGTTTGGTATATGTAAGAAAACCTACATTTTATGCTTCATATAGTATTTAGTCAGGCAATGCACCCTGTTCAACGGACACATGGCGACGGTTCATGCTAGTACCAGAGCGGAGACTTACTGCTCGGACGCCAGGATCATCTTGCTCAGCATGGGGTCCACGGGTAACTCAGCCATCCTGCGACCCAGCTGACACACAAGAACAAACAAGTTATTTATTCATATTGATAAACATCTTATGTCCTGAACACAAGTCGTCACCTGGGGGGGGGGGGGGGGGGCGCATCTCACCACAACCCCTATCCCGGCACGGACTGATGCTGATATCCTATCATCCTCACATCCTTGACAACCACTGATTGATAAGACTATAGTGGTCATAAAAGCCCTGAGTTGTAAACACAGTGAGCTCTCCTCTCCAAGTATCAGCACCTTCAATCAAGCCCTGACAGAGCATAAGAAGCTTCAGGTATGTGCAGCATGTCAAGCACACACGCAGGCAGAGCGAGAGATGAACGCAGATTATGCACGTCAAAGCAAAAGGTTACATCACTATTTTCTCTGATTAAAGTTAAGAATGCAAAAGAAGCTTCTTCTGTTAACTAACGACCTTCTCTTGTTGTGTCTGACTGTGGGACGAGGATGGAGTGGGAATAATTAATCCATTACTTGTTGTACATGTGTGATAGGACAATAATGATTTTTGACAGTAACATTTTTCACAGAATTACTAGATTTGTGATGGAAAATAAATTGTAATGGACCCTATAAAATGAGACCAGGATGAACTGATAGTGTAAAGTGACTATACACATAATTTACTAACAGAAAAGATTTGGGGTGAAGTTACTCTTTAAAGATATCAAGCACTTTAGAGACGTTTGGAATCTAAAGCCTCAAAGCTTTTTATCCACTGGGTAAAGAGTTTTTCCTGTTGCAAGTCCAGCTAACCGTACTCAAGGTACATCAGCTGCTACATTTAATGTTTAATCACTATTTAACAGGAAGAGTTTAAAATAACATAACAGTTCACGACGGAGCTAATTTCCTGCCAAACCTTAAAAAAACAAACAAAACCTGTTTAGCCAAATGCCCTCCAGTTCACAAACAAACCCAGTGTGGTTTGCAAATACAAAATGTACCTGTCAAAAGAAACAGAATGCAACTGTATTAGAGCTTAAACATGCACTAACTGATTTTTGTTGGCTGCTTAGGGGCAGCGATATGTCACCCAAAAACCATGAGAGTGAACCAAAACAGTAAAGCTGCGGAGCAGGCAGCTATATTTATCTTCAGGCCAGAGGAAGCTGCAGATAATTCTCTGTAGGTTCCTCATCTCACATCGCTGCCACTTGTCACATGTAATTATAAATATATTGATTAAGTCTAACTAGACGTTTCATAGATACAGGCCTCGAGTGTGTACCTTTGTGAGCTCTCCCAGGTGGTTGAGTGCTCCCAGGGCGTAGAGCTGCTCCAGCGCTAAGACCAGAGTCTCATGAGGGGGTGGGTCCATGAAGTCAAAGTGAATGAGGTCATTGATGCCTGCAAGCAAAAAGTAGGAGTTTCTTGCACAGAAACAGCCACCAAATGTTGATCTAATCTGCTTCAACTTAATGAGTAAGCACATAAAATGACCCCTCACCTAGACTCTTCAGCAGCAGGACTACATTTCCCAAATTGGTCCTCTGAATCTCAGGCACGGTGGTTTCTTCCATCTCATGTTTAAAGGCCCAGGCTGTGTAAAGCCTAAAACATTTCCCAGCAGCCACTCTGCCTGCACGGCCTGCTCTCTGGTTGGCCGAAGCCTGAGAGCGAAAGAGAAAACACACAACATGAGCTGGTAAAACATTTAGAAACCAAAACAGAGTTACACACCCACAGTTAAACAGATGCTTCCCCCTGAAGCAATCTGACAAACACTAACTGCTATTTATGTAGCAGTGCTAATTAGATCAGTTCGCTGTTCTGGGATCAGCTGGTGATGTTTTCCATGACATGGGCTTATTATTTTGTTTTTAGGAAATTAGTTCAAAACTACATTATCAACAAAATATAAATTATATTACACTGTCGGGTAAAGAGATGTTTTAATTCACGCTGATAAATCAGATGTAAAAATCATCTGGTTTAGTGATTATTTGTGTTTTAGTGCATCATCATAAACTGGCATCAGAGCTCTTGACTTCTTTTCAGCACAGAAGCAGCTGCTGTAAACACAGTGAGACACAGTAAGGACATTACTTTGTTTATACGATATCTGCAGTGGATGTGATGTTGTCAGGCGATGGGACCTTCTCATCACCCGTGTCCCTAAAGCTGAGAAATGTTTGGCAGTCTGTGTGAACTGTTCAGGGCTCTGACTTTTTACTTGTATTTATTACAACCAAAAATAGTAACTGGAACTTAAAAGACAAAACCAGAAATGGAACGAACGGAAAAAAAGCAGCATGGGGTCCGTACAGTATCACAGCTTGTAGCCTGGACCTGAATTGTGGTGTTTTTTTGAAAAGAAAACATGTGCATTCACTACACTCCTGGATAAAATTTGCCATGACTTCACTTCAACATGAACTTCCTGCTTGTTAAACATTAAGAGAAACAGCGAGCAGTTACCCGTGAGCAGGGCGTGACAATGAGTGACTCCATGCCAGTGCGGGCGTTGTAACTCTTCTGCTTGCAAAAGCCTGGATCGATGACGTAGATGATTCCATCTATGGTGAGTGAGGTTTCTGCTATATTGGTAGCAACCACCACCTTGGGTTGAAGGGAAGAGAACACACAGTGTGAGCAATCACTGGTCAAACAAAGCAGCGTAAAGATTAGATCCAGCTGTTGGGAATAGGAACAAAAATGTGAGCTACTAAGTCTCTTTAGTAAATCTCATTGTGCTCTGTTGCCTCTGTTGGTAAATACCAGCATGGACATTTAATTTGTGTAAATATGAGCAGGCTCTTGCCTAATACACAGCTGATACAGGAAACAGATATCACATCCATCGTCTTCATTTACATCTCTCTAAGGAATAAACTTGTTATCATAGTCTATTGACTAGTGTCTACCAAGCTGAAATATTAATCCAACAGTGACCTACTACATCCAGAGCAATTGTGTTAGGGAACAATAAAAGTTTCCCAAGGATTCTGCGCAGAAATAAGACATCGCCTCACCTTACGGGCCCCAGGCGGAGTGGGGTTGAAGATCTTCGCCTGCATGTCGGATGGCAGGTTGGCATAGATGGGAAGGACCAGCAGCTCTGCGATCTTAGATCCCAGCCGCCTGCATCTCTCCTGGAGCAGCTCGCAACACGCTTCGATCTCCTCCTGCCGGACACACACAGGCAAAGAGGTTAAAGAGTAAACCCACAACACACAAGGATACATGAGAAGTTTGGGGATACTGGTTAAGTAAACCAGGTAACTTAGGTCGCTTTCACACCTGTAGTTTGGTTCATTTAAAGATCGAGGAAAGAAAATGCCTTTTTATGTGTGTTTATGTATATAAAGTAAGCTACTACAAAACCCAGTCAATATTTATGCCAGCAATCCCTGCACTTGTACACACCTCTACACTATTTGTGTACTTGTTTACAATTTGTATATAAACACTGTATGTTGTTGTGCTTTACTGTTGCTCTATTTTTCTACTTCCTGAACATTGTTCCTGGAACAGTGTTCACTTCGAGGCACCAGGGTTGGGCCAGTGTAAAAAAGGTCAAACCAGTCTGATATTAAACCAAGCACAGGACAACACCAGTGTACCAAATGTAACCACTGGGGGTCCTACGTGACTCAGCAGATGCTTCTGAGTGGAACATAATGAGACTGAGAGCCCGTGAATGAGAGTGTAGCGACTCTAGTCCACTTGGTGGCAGTAATGCAGCTCTAAAAGTGGATCTTCATGTTAATGCTCATTGCTTTTCATGCAATATAAGTAGGATTTAGCGGCATGATGGTGATGGAGGATACTTTTTAATTTGCCAGAACCTGTCATAATGATGAATGTTGGTTCAGCCGGTAAAATCAAACTGTTTCAATCTCCTACACCGGAGCAGACCGACAAACAGACACTAGAGACTGGAGTCAATTCATTGTATTATAACACACATGTGGCCAATACAGCTGGTTCTTATTCCTCTTTCAGTTCTGGTCCGATTCAAGCTCCTCCTGGCTTTTTACAAAAGCACCAAGAGCTGTAAATAAATCGAATGGACTGTCAGGTAACTCACTGACTGTACAGTATAAGCACCCTTAGACAACCACTTCTTGAATGTGTTTAAAAGGCAGATTTATCTGTCTGCAACACACAGGATAAGAAATGTGAGGTGTATAAAAACACATTAAGATTATTCCATCCAAAATGGATTATATGCAGATATTACATACAAAAGAAGAAGAAATTACAAGTGTAATGTGCTGGAAGACTTTGAAAGACTTTGAAAATATAAGTGTAAGTGTACCTGTCCAGTGAGGAAGACCAGAACATCTCCAGGAGACTGGGTGACATGGATCTGTAGCACTGACACAACACACGCTTCCAGGTAGTCTGCCTCTGGAGCCTGGGCAACACAACAAACACATACTTTTACGACTTTTACGATTTACAAAAAAATGATCTTTCTTTCTAAGTCTTTCTCTTCAAAATACTGTGGTGACCCACACCGGAGCTGTAATCCTGGCCCAATCTCAATGTCCACCCCTAAAGCCTAAGCCCTGAACCCTCACAGACTTAATTAACATCACCTGGTAAGTGACTGATACGCTCCCTGTCTGTAAACAAAATATTAGTGTAATGTTGGATAAGAGCTGAAGAAAGCAGATTTGGAATTTATCATCATGTCATTATAAAAAAAAAAAAGTTAATATGTCCTATATTAATCATTCAAACAACATGCTAGTTCCTACTTTAGTGTAGAAGATGTCGACTGGGAACCTCCTGCCAGGGATCCTGAAGACAGGAGCGTCGTCAAAAAAGCAGGAGAAGCGCTCGGTGTCCAGAGTAGCGCTGGCCACCAGCACCTTCAGGTCTGGTCTGAACCTGGCAATGTCCTTAATCAGACCAAACAGGATGTCTGTGTGGAGCGTTCGCTCATGGGCCTCATCTATGATGATCACACTGGATGGACAGAGACAGACAGAGAGTGTGGGGAAAGCAGATGACTGAGCACAGCAGATAAGGTAATACCTACAGATGTACATAAACATAATGACTTCACATGTTGAACTGCTGAGAGGAACTGTGGGAAGTTTGAGGCACTGGGATGTCAGCCAGAGAGCCAGATGGATGATCATTCAGGTGGATTAATAAGGTCTTGTAACCCCCTAAAACTGCACGTCAAACATCCTGATTCTATAATCAGGCTGCATTCGTACGGTGTCTGCGTAGTGATTCTCTTCTTTGCATTACCTGTAGCTGGCCAGGTCGGGCTCGGTGAGAAACTCTCGGAGCAGCATGCCGTCTGTCATGTACTTGAGCACCGTTCTCTCTGATGTGCAGTCCTCAAAACGAATGCTGTAACCCACCTGGATCAACCAATTAAGATAATATAAATAATACTGATCCAAGACTTTCATTTAAATTTTTAACCACTTAAAATTGTTTGAAGAAAGAGGCAAAAATACCATGAAATAAATAAAGAATGCTTGGAAAGATGTTATATACCACTGCACAAAAACATTGATTATAGTATCATACAGAAATCATTGATGTACAGATATGAAATAGTGTCCTGCAGCCACATCTAGAATGAATAAAACTGTAATAAAGTGAAAAACGGTGTCAACATGATTAATGTGCCAAGCTCACCTCGTTCCCAAGCTTGACGCTCATTTCCTGTGCCACTCTGGCTGCAACTGACATGGCTGCCACTCTGCGAGGCTGTGTGCAACCGATCTTCATGCCTCCTTTAGTGTATCCCTGAGAGAGGAGCGCCAGGTTCGATGGGTCAGTTCATTTTCACTGGTTACCACATAGAGCTACAGTGAAGCAGTAGTTTAACAACTTGTTTGCGTAAAAAGAGACAATTTGTGGTGTTACTGGGGCTATGTGGCAAACTACCTCTGACCTGGGAACAGTAACTTCCTGGAAGAAGTTACTGTGTCTTTATGCTAAGCTAAGCTAACAGCTACTGGCTGTAGCTTCATATTTGCTGGACAGATGTGAGAGTGGTATTGATTTTCAATATGTATGTGTATGATGCTTCTGCACTCACATCTTCCAGGAGGTACTGTGGGATCTGGGTGGTTTTTCCGGAGCCCGTCTCCCCTTCAATGACCAGGATCTGGTGCTCCTGGATGGCAGCTAGCAGGTCCTCTCTGTAGGGGAAGATGGGAAGGCTGCGTCGGACCTCCTGCATGGACTGTTTCTTCAGCTCCGCCTGCGACAGAGCCGGGGCCTCCTGATCCTGGACACGACAGGGCCAGAAGAAGAGCTCGCTTCAGTTTTTGTAGATCATCTTTTTCACTGATATGTAACGAGTAACTGGGAAGGAGTTTATGTCTTATTCTGGGACACGCTGACAGGACATATGTGTATCTTTTTCTGGTTTCCCTCACCGTCAAATAAAAAGAATACAGGTGGGGGGTTTTCTTCAAAGCTCAAGAACTCTTTATGGCACAGGTCAAGCCTGATGCAAGAAATCTTGATGTTATATTTGATAGTGATTTAAGTTGTGAGCAGCATGTTTTTGTCATCTTAGGAACATTAGGAAAATGTGATCTTTCCTTTCACTTAAAGACACAGGGACATTTTTACATGATGGACAGTTTTACTGATGCAACAGACTTTGATGAATAAATTCAGTGAAAAGCAAAAGGAAAGTTGAGACACAAATTATAATGACGGATTAAAAAGCACCAGATGAAGCCCACCTTTTCTGTCCGAGTTCCCTTCATGGTAATGGCAGTGCTGACAAAGTCGATCATCTCCTCCTCCTCCAGGATCAGCTGGTACTTCTCCTGTTCCTTCCTCATCCCTTGCTCTCGCTCCTTCTTGGCCCCGAAGCTGAGGGAGGCTGTTTTCAACCTCTCCTCCTCCCAGCGGCCTTGCTCTCCTCCCAGCTCCATGGGAGTTTCCTCCAGCTCCAGGTCCCTCTGGGGCACCTCCTGGTCAGCGGGGAAAGGGGCGAGGGATGGATGGGAAAGAAACAAAGAATTTAACCTATGCACACTTTACTAGGTGACTGTTTCTGCACATTGTGTCAGTACGTGGCATCTCTCGTGCCTACCTTGCTTCTCTTCTCTTCTGGCATATAGTATCTGTTCTTCCTCTCCTCTTGTTCCTTGGCACCGGCCTTTTTGTAATCTTTAGCCAGGTCCCGAAGGGTGCGTTTGTATTCCAACTCCTTTCTCTCCCTCTCAGTCAGCTCGTCAGTAGAGAAAAGATACTCGTCGTCTATGATCTCTGCCTCCAGGTCCTCCAGCTTCTCTGCCTCTCTCTTCTTTAGATACTCCCAGCGAGAGCGCTTCCTCAACTCTGGCAACTAGAGATGAAAAGAGATGGACAAAGGATCAGAAACTTTATTACACAGTTAGAATTCTAGCAAATGATTTTTACTTTCTTTATTCCCCAGAGCAATTTATTCTAATGCCCGTGAGAAATGGTGCTAAAGTCTGCTGTGATAGTGACAAAACATTCTGTTCATAAACGTGAGAAGATTTTTTTTCAACACAAACAGAAACTTGTCTCTCAGCTGAGAGCACCCACCATGTTGTTCTGATCCTCTTCAGCCATCTTCAGCCTCTTCTGAGCTTCCTCATAAGCCTGGAGGAAAACAAACAAATGTGAAATGATCTACCTTCGAGACACAGAGGCTCATCTTTGAGAATCATCTTCAAGCATGAGCTGTGATTTAATTTCCTCATCTCCCACCTTTTTGTCAGTCCTCTCCGTTATGTTGCGGGTCTTGTCCTTGTCTTTCTGCCTCACTCGCTCGGCAAACGCGTCTCTCTCTTCAATGTCCTGCAGTCGCTCTCGCTCTTCCTTCTCCCATTCTTCCTCTTCCTCCTCGTCTTTCTTTACTAACTGGGCTGAATTACTCCTGATATTAGAAAAAAAAAATTGTTTTAAACTTTTTATCACTAGTTTAAAAGGCCCTGAATCGTTCCAAGATGAAAAATATTTACAGGTTGCTTCTCTTTTCTGTGGGTTTAGTCTCAGTGTAATACTGGCAAACCACACATAAATGTTAGAAAGCTTTGAACTCTAACTCACATGAAGATAAATGCAGAGTAAATACAATTATTATTATCATTATTACGTCTTCCGCTCACTTTTTTTTCAACTTAAAACACAAATCTAGTATTTTCTCCAAAGAAGTATTAATGATATTTAGGCCCTGCAATTTCAGATATAATTTGACAGTATCCTGCAGTAAACCAATCCTTTGCAGCATGTCAGAAAAATACAAATTTAGTACTCAATTTTTCTGTGTGACTTTTTTTTGTTTTTAAATCATCTTTCACTGTGTCACTGTATCACAGAGTCCTTGGCCATAGTTAATGTCACTACAAATGTTTGAGCCCTGTACTGACGTTGTTTCTAATTGGTTTTTCCACGGGTTGATTATATGTATTACTGTATGAATGGGGGGTGGGGGTATTTTCCCCCTTTTTAATTATCCCTTTTTTTGACCAGGACTACCCACCAAGTGCAAACTGGAAAAAGTTTTTAAATTGAACCACAATCAATGCATCATGTACATATAGATAAACTTCCAATAAATTAGAAAATAATGCGGTAATCATTCAGCTCTAACTTTCATCCAAAACAGCATATCCTGCTCTACTATTAACACTATACACATGTAATTGTATATTATATACACACGATAAAATCAATACAAAAAGTCTGAGTTACCGTTTAGGTGCTTCATCCTCACTAGAGGACTCGCTCTCTTTCTTCCGTCTGATGTGCTTCCTCTTGTTTCCTCTGTCCTTGTCCTTGCTTTTCTTTTTCCCTTTCTGTTTCTCCTGCACAGTGTCTTCATCACTGTCGCTGTCCTCCAGTAACGTGTACGTCCGATTTTTCTTATCCATTTCAATGGCTTCTCGTTCCATCGCACGGGATGCTTTCTCAACAACCTGCTTGCGAGGAATCTTTAACACAGTGATAAAAGATTGTTAGAGGTTTCATTCTCACCAAAAATTCCCAGATTGATGAAGTTCATGCAAATATGTAAATGCAAGCTCTATAGAATTTTATGACTATACCTTGTCAAAGAGCTCTTGTGCGAAGGCAATCACACTCTGGTCGATGTCAATTGTGCCCGTCTGCTCAAGGCGAGACACGAAGTCTTGTGCATTCAATGCTTTCCGTGCAGTACCAATCATGAACTGAGACACGTATCTGTCACTCAACCCGAGGATGTCATGGAGACGGTCACTAACCCACTGCTCTAGATTGGCCATGGTGCCTGTTGAGGGAGCAGTCACAACACAAGAACCTCTGTAATCCAGGCCTATATTTATGCCATGATGTTACACAAAACGACTGAAGGAATAATTACACTAGAAGCTACACTGGTTCTGTCCTTCAGAAATCTGGCTGGAATTGGATCCAAACCAGCTGGAAGTTCAGTTTTGACCCACAAACCTAATTTCGCGGACTGTCTTCATTTGTGCATCTGCAAATTTGTTGTTGGACCATCACATTCAACGGTACACTGGTGAGATATTCTGCTATTTCTTTGTGAAGTCTACTTTAGACTGAAAACGTTGAAACTCATTAATTTCACTTACCGCTTTTCAAAACGTTCAAAAAATGTGTTGTTTTGGTAGAAGTAGCAGGCTGTGAGTTAGCTTACTCAGCTAACTCCAGGTACAAATGAGGCGTCAGTTTGAGTTGTAGCTCACAAGTTCCGGGTAACGACACTTAATAAATACGTACATCTCTCCACAGCTATGTAAACCTATTTATTTGTGCCTATGTTGTTCTCCTAAAACAGCACATACAAAAATCAATACGTGTTTTTGTTCACTTAGCTTGATTCACGCTGAAGTTGAAAGCGGAAACACGTGTTTTAAAATGACAGAAGAAGAGCAGAGCTGCATCAGGGGCTGCAGCGCTCACTGCCCCCTGCGGCCAACAGAGGAACGACAATAATCATCTCCCTGCCCCTACCGCACGGGTGACGGGTGGTGATATCAAGTTGACTATTGGAAGAATAAGATGTACGATTGATCATTTAAGTGTTGTATGTCAATCAATTTTCCACTAATGCAGTGAGAAATCATAGAGAAAGCTAAAATAGCATTTTAAAAACCCACGCAAATATTAATTTGCACATTTATTTCGACATAGCTTAGCATATAAATAAGTGAACAAGGGGTGAAACATTAGTAAACAGTGATGCTGCAAAGATTGGTCCAGTGGGACCTCAATACTATTTCTACTTGTTAAGCAATGTAAAAGAAAGCGCCTTTACTCATTGTGTTATGCACAGTACTTTTATTGTGAAAGATGTTTATTGTCCGATCCCAGATATGACATGTGTAGCTTACCCCGGGAAAAGTTTTTGTTCACGCTTGTGTGTTCCAGCGGTCGGTTATGGAAAAATAAAGCAATGATGGAAGCTGTACTGAAGTGGAGTTTGAACGAGAATCCTTAACACTACTAATAATAATAATGATAACCTTTTTCTTTTTTACTATATTTTTTTTACTCATCATTATTTGTTGTAATATTATTATCAGTGGTATAGTAGATTGTTAAATGGCTATGTGATACAAATTTAACGTTTATGCCATAGCCTAGTAAAGACAGCGGTGGACGAAGTAGCTATAGATCTTTTACTCATTTCAGTTCGGTTTAAAGACTTTATTGTCATATGCAGAAATAAACAAGTTTTCAGTACCGTGAGATTGTTGGGTCTGCTGTCTCTCTATTCTCATGCCAGTCATTTTATTTCTATTTACTAAGAAGTTAAAAATAACGATCAAAAGAATAAAATCAATTAAAAAAACAAAAGGAGATACATGTTATCTGAAGTAAATATGGACTGAGAAAATGTTTTGTAAGGCAAATATATAGAAACACACATAGTAAACATTATATAAACCCACATAAGATAAGATATTCCTTTATTAGTCCCAAATTGGGGAAATTTCCAATATCACAGCAGCAAAGTGGAAAGTACAAAGAAAGAAAAACAGATCGCCAAATGACAAGAACCAAAATACTTAAAGAGATAAATAATATAATAGGATAAAATAAAATAAAATATAATATTTACAATTAAATTGTAAATAAAGAGGATACAAAATATAAAAAACAAAAAGTAGCAGCAGTATTGTATTGCACATGGTGCAGTCTCTCCTTCACACACTGTGGGTGCAGCAGCCTGTTACTGAAGGAGCTGCTCAGTGCTGTCAGAGTGTTCTGCATGGGGTGGCAGATGTTGTTCAACAGGGATGATAGCTTAGCCATCATCCTCCTGTCGCCCACTACCTCCACTGGGTCCAGGGGGCATCCCAGAACAGAGCTGGCCTTCTTGATCAGTCTGTTGAGCCTTTTCCTGTCAGCAGTGGAGGTTCTGCTGCCCCGGCAGACCACACCATAGAAGATGGCTGATGCCACCACAGAGTCATAGAAGGTCCTCAGGAGTGCCCCCTGCACTCCAAAAGACCTGAGTCTCCACAGCAGATACAGCCTGCATTCATATCCACATATGCATACATTTGTTGTCTGCATATACACACTCCCATGCACATGCATACATCCATACATGTATAATGAGGTAGACGATAAGAATACAAATTATGTCAAGTACGATATAAAAGTATGTGCAATAAGACAAACTGAAGAATACTTGGTCAATTATATCAAAGCAGCAATACAACAGTATAGAAACACTGCAGGCCTGCTACTTACAAGTGAAAAGTGATGCATTCAGAATGTTACTTATAAGCTAAGTAAAAGAATTACCATAAAAAAATATACTTAAAGTTCCTTAATTAAAAGTTCTCATTATGCAGAATGACATACCTACTTTCTTACCCTGCTGGGGGGGGGGGGGGGGGGGGGAGGGGGGGGGGGGGGGGGGGGGGGGGGGGGGGGGGGGTCATATTTCAACCTATAATAATACATCATCATTTATTTGTTGAATATTATTCATCTGCAATGAATTTGCAAAGTAACTACTAATTAAAAATAAATGGGGTAAAAAAAGAAAAGAATTGTAAGTAGCAGATATTGGAAATACTCAAGTGCTACTTGGGTAAATGTACTCAGTTACTTTCCACCACTGAATAGAAAGTTGTTCTGAAAGGCTGGGTGAGTGGTGAAGATTAAAAACGGATGTGATCTGAACACCAACCTAGAAAAAAAGGCATCACACTACAGACGCAGCGACGAGGAGGAAGCAGGGCACATATAAGTCTGCACACAAAAGTTTAAAGAGATCAATAATCCCTTATCAGCACTATTAAAACCCCACCCCCCGGGGTCAAGTCTCTCTCCGGGACCTTCACTCGATCCTCCACTGTGCTCGGCCGGAGGTCTCACCTGAGACCGGGTAGAGATGAGGACTCCGCAGATCATCCGAGGATCACCGGCGCAGCTGCTACTGCTGCTGCTGGCAGGGGTTTGCGTTGACGGCTACAGGCCTGTGGTAATCGTGCACGGCATTTTAGACGGACCAAAACAGTTCCAAACTCTGCGTCAATACATAACCAAGGTAGGACACTCCAAAAGGCTAACGCGAAACTGCATGAAGTGCACAAGCGAAAATATGTTTAAGGATAAGAAAGTATAACTGGGCAGTTCGGTCTCCTACCTGATTTTGAATTTGCATTTAAGAAAACTTTTTATCAGTGGTGGAAGAAGAACTTTTACTTAAATAAAAATACATCAGGGTAATACAACTGAATTATAATTATTAATGTGTCAATGTCACTTAAATGTTGCAGGTGGGGTTAATTTGAACTACTTTGTATATTGCTGGGTACCTTCATCTAATAATCATGTATAATAATACCTGAGAATGTATTACCTGATTAGCCTATGTGTTGTATTAATGTGGATCAAAGTGAGGAGTAATGAGTAGTATATAAAATGGAAAGTAGTCAAGTAAAGTTTGACTACATTCGCCACTGCTCTCTATTAACCTGCTTGGGAATTTCATATTTTACTCACCAATGAAGCTTAATCTTAGTCATTTGAAATGTGAGATGCTCAAACTTCCCACTTAACCTGAGTATTAATTAAACTTATTTAGGAACTTATTTATTTAAGATGTACAGTAGAATAGAGACTATTGTAAAGGCAGTCAGATTTTAAATGAAGTGAAAATCAGCAAGCGGTTTCAAGGTAATGATTTCTGTTCCCTTATCATTTTCTATTCCTCAACATCAGTTTTGCTTTGGGAGAAATCTGCCTGAGTTGGCTGATAACTTAATCAGTCACCTGGTTGATAGTTTGCTGACAGATGATTTAATCAGTATTTACTGTTTCTGTCGCTCTGTGCCTTCTTTTGAATCAAGAGGTCAAAAGTTTTATTTTTATTTTTCAATTTTTATTTTATTCCCAGGCGCATCCAGGCACTGAGGTGCCAGTGATCGACTTGTACAACAACCTGAAGAGTTTTGTGCCACTGTGGAAGCAGGTCCAGGGCTTCAAGAAAGCCATCGAGTCCATCTCGCAAAAGGCTCCCGATGGCATCCATCTTCTGTGCTTTTCACAAGGTCCTCTCTCTGCCCCGCTCACACACTCACATAGACACTATACACACACACACACACTTTCATACATACACACACGTGCTGACCACTGCCGTTTTTTTTTTTTAGCATTGTAACATTTGAGCATTTACCGAGGGATGCAACAGCAACGAGGGCCTATTCTTACATATTGGTGTTGAAGATTGAGCAGGTAAAAGACTGAAGAGCATGGGAAAGAAATAGCAGCTCGTACTATAAGGAGGCAGAGTTAGCAACCAGGCAAAGTGGAAAATGTACATTTGAGTCAGTGGCTCAGCAGGTAGAGCAGATTGTCTATATTGAGGAGTTGGTGGTTGATACCCGGATCCTCCTGTCCACATGTGGAAGTGTCCTTAAGCACGATGTTGAGCATGACGCTGACCCTCAGTTGCTCTTGATGGTTGAGTCAGTGCTTTGCAGGGTTATTTAGTCAACTATCATTGATGCAATTAGGGTAGACACAATAACATAAATACCTACCTGTGTAATGCAGCACCAACACCTCACTCCGAGCATTATAACCTTCGTGAAGGTAGGAGTTATTGCAGGACTGTTGTATTAAGATGCATTAGCGATAAAAAAAAAAAAAACTAGATGAGAAGCGAGGCGTTAGTCTCGTTGTTTGGCAAAAATATATGTTCTATAATTTGTGCATTTAGGACAACAGGCAATCACACAGCAAAAGTGGACAGAGTGGCTGTTTTCTGGACCCCACCATGACTATCCAGTACGTAGGAGGATATGTAGCCTACAGCATACAGTACAATAAACCGTGAGAAGGCAGTTACACAGAGCCTACAGTCTATACAGCACACACAACCGCACACACACATACATTAAATTGAGGAACAATATCTATATGCCACAGGTCCTCCATTTCCACATTTCTAACATACCAAGATAAGTGCCAAGTGACAAGTTTTATATTTTTTATCTTCGGGGCTCACGGTTCTTACAGTTCTGCTTTTACATTGACACGTCTCCATCTGTTCTTATGTAACCAAAAATGTAGAAACAGAAAATACCTCAATGAAGTCAAACTTTTAACCTAAGACTGGACTTACAGCTGTTTACTAAATTTCATCATACAGAAATGTATCTTTAGGAGCACATTTATGTCATTTAAAAAAGTTCCACTGTCTCCTCCAAGAAGCCCAAGAAGCCTTTTTTCACAGCAAGCATATTGACTTGAGCAAAAGCACAGGTGTTACCAATAACATTAACGAGCGCAACCAGAAACGTCTCCGCTCCTCTCAACTCGTACAAGATACTAAGTTTTGCACAGACATTCATGATTCTCAGACGACAACAACCTGTTGGCAAAGATGTAAAACAGCAAAAACCAGGCAGTTACCCGACAGGCCCTCTCAGACCTTTTGACACTCTTTATCCAAATATCTATATCCAGAAAACTGTGTTGTACAACATCAATAACTTCAACAGTCCCTCTCATCGCTTGCTTAAATATCAGATTGATAACGCTCTTCACTTGAACAACAGGTCAGCCAATGAACTCAGCAAAGGTAAAACACAAATTTCCCTCACACTTTTCCTGCCACAAGGACAGTTACAGTTTTTCAATCAAATATCTCAACAACTGCTGGCTTAACATTAACATTATTATTGTTGCTCCTGACATTATTATTATTATTGCTATTGTTGCATGGTGGTCTTTTCCCTGTGCTCTCTCTTGCTCTCCTCTCCTTTCCTCTCTTGTTCTCTCTCTCTCTCTTTCCTTGCTTTCCTTACCCAATCGGTCGAGACAGATGGCTGCCCACCCTGAGTCCAGTTCTGCTCGAGGTTTCTGTCTCGTAAAGTTTTTCCTTCCTGTTAAAGAGAAGGTCTAGACCTCCTCTATTTGGTGCTATACAAATAAAAATTGACTTGACTGGCGTGAATATTGCAAACTTTTGGTTTGCAATGACATTGGGTTCAGACAGTGCCCTCAGGATCATCTGTGATCGCCTTGGTGATCCCTTAACTTTGCGTCTAACCACCAACAGGTCAGAATTTGTCTAATACTTTAGTTTGTGACAAAAATACGTGTAAAGCTAACGGCTTTCCCAATAGCCTCAGTTTGCTAATTAGCAAATGTTACCATGCTAATACACTAGACTAACATAGTGAACATAGTAAACATTATAACTGCAAAACATGTATTGTCATTGTGAAAATGTTAGCGTGCTGATGTTAGCATATAGCCAACGTGTGGCTATGGACTGTTTTTTGCAGGGGAAATGAACAGAAATCATTTGATGCTACTAATGTAATGGGAGGCACCCACTTGTCAACCACAAAGTCATATCCTGAGGATGACTGCATCAGGTCATATACCATCTATTGGTTTGTCTGAACTCTCTTGCTGTTGTAACTCGTTTGTCTTCTACTGTTTTTCAAAGGTGGTCTAATTTGTCGAGCCCTTCTCTTCACAACGCCACGCCACAACGTGCACAACTTCATTTCACTGTCATCACCGCAGGCTGGGCAATATGGAGGTCAGGGCTTAGAGCATGTCTACATCTTAACACTTGACAGACTCGACAGACCTATCTACTGTTAAAATATCAACCATCAGTATTGGATTGAAACAGATCCTCAGTTGCAAATAAATAAATAAATAAATATATATATATAACAGTATTTCTCACTCTCTTACTCCACAGACACAGCCTACCTGAGGTGGCTATTTCCACAATACTTAAAGAAGACAGTGTATAAAATTTGCTACTCAAGATTTGGGCAGACTCTGTCTATTTGTCAATACTGGAATGGTAAGAATGAGGGAGGTGGTCTTCAATGGTTTGAAAAACTGAAACTATTTACCTTTATCTGAGGAAGGCCTGCATACAGCATTACATTTATTTATTTATGTTTTTTCCACAGACCCTCACCATAGGTCTCTGTACCTGCAGCGCAACAACTTTCTGACAAAGCTTGATGGTGAAATATCTCACGCTGACATGATAGGTAACTTAATGAATTACTGTCATGCTCATTTTGTACTGTATACTTATGGATGTACAGTAAACATGTGCATTGTAAAAAACAAACAAACAAACAAACACACACACAAACATTGCTCCATCTCACTTCCTCAGCATGGAGAGAAAACTTTCTCCGCATCAAGAAGCTTGTGCTGATTGGAGGACCAGATGATGGCGTCATCACACCATGGGAGTCCAGGTTTCACCTAAAAACGTTTTATAAGTCACTTACACACTGTCGTTCCGTGTTTGTTTAAATGTGTCTGTGATATTGAAGCCTAATTAATCAGTTGGTGGATATAACAGCCTTCTTATCATATGTTCTGCTGCTGAAACTAAATCAAACTGAAACCTTAAAAGTGAGGGGGATAAAAATAGCCTGTTTTTTTTTTTGTTTGGGAAAATCCCCAGTGAAAATGACACCCTTGGTTTAGATAGATTCTCAGGTGGAAGACGGTGCCGTACAGCTACTAACAGAGGCTTCAGTATGTGAGTTGAGTGGACTGTTTCTAGCACAGGTTTCGAGGTCCCTTTACCTGTTATACCTGTTTCCTCTTTTCTACACAGCCGCTTTGGATTCTATGACAGCAACGAAAATGTTGTAGAAATGAGGAACCAGGAGGTAATATGCAAACTAGTAGTAGTAGTTTCATTGTAATTCTGTGAAACTTTGTGTTGGCTGACCTGTCCCTCTCTTCTTTCCTCCCCATGAAAGTTTTACAAGAGTGATGTGTTTGGGCTGAAGACGCTGGATGCTCGTGGTGACGTGAGGACGTGTATTCAGTCTGGTGTGAAACACGTTCAGTGGCACTCCAACCACACGGTGTTCAAGAGCTGCATAGAGAAGTGGCTCACATGAGAACAGCCCGGCTACAGACGGCGAGAGATGTTAATGCAATGTGTTATTGAAGTGAAACAGACTATATGATCAGCACTGGTTACACATGCAGACACTGAATACTGTAGAAATAGCTTGTGCTTTTGCAAAAGTTCAGATGATTGATATTTTATATGCTGGTACATGTTGGATTAATGATTATGAAATTTGGTAAAGAGCTTCAGTTTCCCACAGGATGAATTAATAAGTTTGCTGATCTCTGAACTAAGAACAGCTTTACAGAGCCACAGTCTTGTTTAACACATTTTTTATACAAGAAAGAAACCAGATAAACATAAAAGTAACAAAAACATACAAAGGAAAAAGTACAGAAACATGTGCGGCAATACAAAAGCAACATCTGAGGTTTTTCTTTCCTCCTCATGAAGACAGGGGCAGGTATATCAGACATGGTCTCCATAAATATGAAAGGTTTCCTTGATTGATTATAATGGATTCAAGTAAGATCAGTTAACCAGAGAGTGTGCACATGTTCTCAAACAATGAACCCTTTTACAATAACCGTTGTAAAAAGGGACATAACACTTCCTGCTTCCAGGGGATATTTTACAACTGAAAATTCATCAAGTTTTCAGGTAAAACTAAAATCAATTAGCTAAGGTTCAATCAGCATGAATATTTTTTTCAATGATCCGTTTTGTGTTCAGATTTGTATATTTGAAACAGTTTTTGAATTTAGTAAATATCTGCTTATTTTTGCTTGCTTCTGAACAAAAAAAAGAAACTGCTGCAGACTCTCCGCATAGGAACACCTTTAAATGGTTATTATTATCGTAAAGGCAGTGGTTCTCAAAAGGTTTACACAAGTTAGACCATGGACCCCATTTGATAAGATTTTAGATGCTTTATTACAGAAAGTGTTCATGATCAAAATAGTCATACATTCTGTCATTGTGGTGAATGAATGAATGGAATTATAGCGAGAATAAAATATTCCCCTTTTTGCTCTCGGACCCCACGTTGAAAACCACTGCATTAAGGGTACTAGTCTGAAGTGACACAGCAAACCATGAGTCAAAACGAGCTGTGACCAGCACTGCCCTCTGGTGGAGGTTTATGGTACTTTAGAGTCCTGTAAAACTCACCTCATCACACACCAATGAAAACTGCTTTGCCCTCCACTCTTTGGGTTCAAACTTTATGTGTGATGTGTTTGTGCCGTATGCAATTTGATTTAAAAGAATACCTAAAATGTGGAACTTTATATCTGTATTAAAGTCTTTGGAAAGTCAGATTCTAAATCATTATTGGTTTGTTTATTTTTGATTACACTACAGCAATTACATTCATGTGGCAGAAACATTTTTGACCAAACTATACAACCTATGTATGTTGACGTTTGTGAGCTTGTTCTTCATGAGAGACGTGCAATTCAATTCAGCGCAACAAAGTGTCAGTTTGTTCCATGTACCTCATGAAAATGGAACAAGGACGTCGAGAGCCGGAAACAGACACAGGTCATCTTCAAAGCAAATGTTGCACGTGGCTGCAGAAGTACTGGCTGCAGTCGTCAATTTAAGGAGAGCTAAGATAAATAAACAAACTGTGTAAATAATGAACATAATTCATAACTGTTATAGGGTTTTTAATTGCTGTGTGCAGGTTACCTTTCATTCTTATTTATAAAGGTGGTGGGGAAAGGTGAAGGGGTCAATTCGATGTATGGTTGGAACATAAAAGGTTTACTGGTTGTTGCACAGCTTAACCCAACCAAAATGACGGTGTTGGGTCTGTAAAAAAGATGTGGCAGCCTAATAAACGTAGATGAGTAAAACATCTCAGTGATGTATAATATCCCAGACAGTTGACAAATAGAAAGAAAACCCAAGATAAAGTGTAGTAGTAGGTGTTGAGCCAAAACAGCTTCAGTGGTTGTTAAACTGGGTTGAGAACTGGTGACTGAAGGCCACAGCATATGATTCACATCATTTTCATCCTTATCAAACCTTTCAGGTCACCAGGGGTGACTGGTGTGCACATTAAACACATGGATCCAAGAGCCATTTAACCATTTATTTTGTTCAGGAAATTCAGCAAGGAACTGATGGATGGATGGATAATTTCTTCAGTACAACAAACTAATTAATAATAATAATAAAAATAATAATAATGATAATAATAATAATAACTAATAACTTCGCTCCAGATGGTTGGCATCCCTAGATTGATGTCCTTACTAAAAGATTTAGGAACATTTTCTGGATATAAACTAAATGTGCAAAAAAGCACAGATTTTAAGGTATAACTATACTCCACAGCAAGATACTAAATAGATTTGATTTCAAATGGAAGTCAGAGATTTAGTACCTGGGGGAAGGCACACTGAGCCAAAACTGGACCACTGACGCCATCATGTGTTTTGTTTTGTTTTTTTTGTTTTTTTTGTCGTCCGTATTTAAATCCGAAATGGCGCCAACACTGGCCAATCACCACAAGAGGGCAGTGTATAACAGTGCAGAGCTTCCCTCCGCTCGGGTTCTTCCCCTCCCCTTCCTGCTCGACCGTCTGTTACAGGTGTTTGTTTGTTCCCCACCATGGTTGTATTATTTCAACCTAATATGTCTGATAATAGGCCTACATCCATGTTCCCCACGTCGATGGTTCCACAGTTTACTTTTCTAATGCTATTATTCCTCTGACTCGGCCGAGACTGCGAGTAGTTTTGCCGCTTTGTTGTCATGGACACAGGAAAGGAAAGAGTGAACCAGCAAACATGGAGTCCAGCTGCAAGTGACACAGAATCCATAAAGGATCGTTCAAACTTCATAAGCTGCAGCTGAAAGCCATGAACTGCAGCGGGAAGTGAAGGTAAAAGCCCAACAGCAGCTGTGCACGAAGTTCAAAATACTAATAAATAATAATCACAACATTCATAAACACAGTTCATTCATTTGAAAGCAATTTAACTAAATACTCGGCTTAAATGTCACATGTTATTCCCGGGCCCAAGGACAGTTAAGTCTGTATTATCTGTCTTAAAGCTAGAAATCAGAGAATCCCCAAATCCTCCATAGACAACACAAGGGCACTGACTTTATTCTGTGTCAACAGTTGTGTAATCCATTAAAACATCGATTAAATGTCACAAGTGACAAATGAAAATGTTGAATGCACTTTTTAATTGAACCACCCAAATTAAGAGCTAATTGGTGCAAATGATGAACTAATTACTAAGTAGAAAAACAGACTCTGGAAGTATAAACTTGCAAATGTCATATTCTAAAAAAGCCAATGGCTTGTTTTCATCAGTCAGGCTACTGAAGTTATAAAGCTGAAATTACTTTGAGCCACTGTGAGAAATGTGTTACTGCATTAACCTCACAATCTACACTAGTTGTGTAGTGTACCTCCTAACAGGTGTCATCCAGATTTTAAATTGGACATAAGGTTGAAGATATAAAACACTAATCTTAGTGAGAAATTAGACAAACATTTTATGGCTTTGCAGCATCACAGCCCCATTCATTGTTATAGAGCAAACCAGGATGACATTGCAGATTTTAAGGTTCTCCCTTTGGTTTCTAATTTAGAGGAGAGTGCAGCATGTTCACAAATATTCACCAATCTGTTCTGGGGCACAGGAATAAGAAATGTCAATTCATAACTCACCCCCTGGTGTACTGGGTATATTTACAGGGGCATAGTAGCTCACACCGTGTGTCAAAACTGTAAGTTAGTTTGCAATGTGGGCAAAGAACATGTAGCTTTACATTAAAATGTCAGCTTTGCTGGTTGTGCTGTAAAGGTGCAATATACGATCTGGCCAGAACTTTAGTTTAAAGTGTGAAAATGAATCAACACCATCAACGGTGTGTGAAGGAGCCACAGTAATGATGTCAAGATCAAGACCTCCCTCTATTCTATATCGGTTATCTATTCTTTTGTGCCTTACTTTGAATATGTAATGTATTTAATAAAAAATAAATAAAAAATTTCAGTTATCTACTGAGATGAGCATGCTAACCACTCGCCCCTCCGACCTGTCCCGAGTTTTAATACCACTTTGTGACACTAGATGCTGTGTGAGTCAGTGGAGCGCTAAGTCTGCCCTCAGTCCCACGAAGAAGAACAACTTCCCGCAGCGCCTGAAGTTAGCTACAGCTCCTGACTAGCATCACAGTGACATAGAAATGGCTGAAGCTCCTAGAAAGCGATATTCATCTGCATCCCCGAAGGACCGCTCCCGCCAAGAAGCCACAAAACAGGAGTAAATCCTGGTGGGGCTTCCCACCGCTGGAGACAGCTCTCGAAGAGTAAAGAGATGCTGTTTGATGTCGAGCTCTCAACTTTTCTTTTAGCCTGGTGAGTAACATCAAATGTTGGTCTTTAGCGAAAAGTATCATTAGTGCAACAAAGGACAAACCGTACCGACATACATTTCAAATGGCATAATTGTACGATATTGACGTTGTCGACAGACGTTTTAGCGGTTAGTAGGATTGTGTCTGTTGCTCTCGGCTGTTGTACAGTTGGTGACGACAGTAACTTTAGGCTCATTTTGTAGCTGATGACGGTAACTTGAGATTGTATGGACCCAGTAGACCGAGTGAATACACGGCGATCGGTTCACCATGTTTGAACCACTTTACATTACTGTTGGCAGATCAGCCATGATTGAAAGTGCACTAGGTTTTTACATTTCTCAGGAGGTTTCAGCATCCCTCTGTCTTTATCAGGACCTGAGCCAGTACAGATGCAATACCGCCTCCACCTGTCTCACCAACGGCAGAGAGTCCAGACAGTGAGGAGGGTCCAGGTGAGTAACATGCTACCATTCACTTTTAAAAGTAAGCCTTGTGTATACCACTGTGATTAAATCAGACCCACAGTGTAAACATGTTCACACTGCTGATTCTTAACAATGAATATACCACTGCCTGTATTGGTTATGTGTTTTACATTATATCCATATTTTTACTATTCTGTTGTTTGTTGGTTATATAGTGTGTGTGCATTGAATTCCTATAACTCTAGTTGTTTATTCTTCATTTCCTTGCATTTACATTTCATAATATTCATACTGTTACTAGTGTTCACATTGTGTATATCTCAGCATATTCATGCCATTATTAATACTGTATTTATTTGAGCTTATTCTTATGTATCCTCACTATTTATTATACACACACAACAGACCTAACATGTTTCAATATAAAGAACTTGTATGAGCTAAACACATTGTCTCATCACATGTTTGTCTGTATCTGGACCAGAAGTCTAATCATCACCAATGATGGACCAGCACCTGCCTTTTCTTCTGCATCTGGCTTCATCAATCAACCACATTACATCAACACCTTCAGGTATTATCCCTGCACGTAACAGATATTGTCTATACTGTGATCTTTTGCACATCCCCTAATCAATACCTTTTGCACATCTTGCCCAGCAGGAGATTTGTCATTCTAAAACACATAGTTGTGTAGTGTCTTTTCCATTGTTTTATTTTTTTTATGTGTATTTATGTATATTTATATTTGAGTGTTGCAGTATTTTACCTTATTTCCTATGAATACATTAATTGGATACTGCACCAAATACCAAGCCAAATATCTTGTAAGTGAAAACCTACCTGGCAATAAACCTCAATTTCTGAGTCTGCCTTTGTGATGATGTCTTCATCCTTTCCTCATGCTGCTATGTGCACGGCTGCCTGGGTTATCAATGTGGGTATCGAGTTTTCCAGCATGCCGGCTAGCTTGCTGACATTGTATACTGCACCGCTGTATATGGAGAAGTGCTAGTTGTTGTTTCCTTTACGCTATTTATCAAAACAAATATTATATACAGTAAACGCGTGAATAAATAAGATGTCATAAAAATAAAACTAATTTTTTATGGTGGAGTCTCATCTTGTTATACAACCCTGTGTCAAACGAATAAATGAATAAATGAACCCTGTGACCTTTCACTTATTTAGTATATATTGTGCAGTATGATATATTCCTGTCCTAACTATTACCACCTGTAAAAGATGAGTTGGCTGTCCCAGTGACGGTGCAGGACTAATGAAGGTAACTGCCAGCTGATTAGGTGAAGATAACATATAACTGATATGCAGAAAATACTAATTAAGCTGTAAGCAGCAAATGGACCGAAGGATTACAATAACCTCAATGGTAAAGAAATGACACCAGTTATCTCTTTACAGGTCGGATGGGTATGAAATGTGTATTTATGGTACATCTGCATCATCATCATCATCATCACAGTAAAATCCAGCACCCTGCTTTCATTCCCTCAGTCTGCAACACGAATGTTTACTGTTGCCATGGAAATGGGTGCAGGTTTAGTAGTTAACGTTAGCTCTCCCTGTCCTCTGGGAGCATGCTGCCCCCCCCCCTCTTCTCAGCACCTCTGCTATGGACTAATTGGCTGCTGAGGCAGTTCAATAACAGGCTTTTCTCTGCAGGGAAACATTGAGAAACGGGGATATTTTTGTAAAGTGGAAAGAGTACTTGGACATTCTTCATGTTGTGAGCAAAGTGGTCACCATTTGTTAGTTTGGAAAACTTGGAGAAATAAAGTGCAAGTAGTAGTGTGGTAGATGCCCTTCGAGTTTTGAGCGTCACACCAATTTTGGGATTTTGGGTTTATAACTGGCAGGGTAGGTTTCCGCCTTAGAGGGTTCACTACTCACTCTACCTGGGAAAGCACATTCGCAGTAACGCTCTGGGAGGGAGGCTCCAGCTAATCTTTAATCCTTAAATTAATCTGGAACAATGCAGATTACTTTCTGGGTACAATATAGAGCCTTTTACCTTTCACACAACTGAGGAGAGAGGGGAATACGTTAGCTCTTGGTATTGCTTGAAAACTTTCAATATCTTTGCAAATATAATAGGGAATCCTGAGAGGGCCTGTTGCAGTATAAGCACTAAGAGGACTAAAGTGGATGAGATCAGGTATCTTGGAGTTTTGTCAGTAGACAAGGGTAAAAGAAACTGTCACTACTGATCAGCTGAAGGCTGCGATAATCGGGAAATAATGGCAGGTTATGTTAGTGATGAGTTCCAATATCTGTGGTTACAAGATTAAGGCGGTTAACAACAGCTTGAAATCACAGACTCCAATGGGCAAAATTTGTTTTCAACACAAGGTGGCAGCGCTCACTCTTCGCTCAGCAATTTCAGAAGCCTGCTCTTGCAAAGCCTTACAAAGTTGCCCTCTAGTTGCCAGTGCCAGAAAGACCACATCTCAAACCTGACCAGAAGAACCCTTTAAACCTCCCAGGGAAAATAGGTTGCTCTGCTTTCCCGGTTTCCTGCGCAACCCAAAACCACAGCAGCAACATTTGACTGATAGATGAATAAAAGTAGTAGTCAGTAGTCAGAGAGTGACAGCGGTTTGGTTTTGTGCCCACTTATATGCTTTCTTGAGCATTTATCACAGTGTTGCACTAACACTAGAATCGATAGAGCTATGTAAGATATGCTGTGTGGGGGGTTCAACTGAACAGAATTAACTACATTAGTGAAAGACGGCCATATATTTGATCATCTGCTTTATCTGCTTTGCGTCAAATATCTCAAGTAAGTTGAAGCCATATCACAATTCTTAAGCACAAAACTATCACAGGCCTGAGGTCAGTGTGATGTTTGTGAGATAAGAGCTGACCTGAACTTTAATCTTATGGATGTTAGACTTTAGCCTGTATATGTAAGCATGTGAATACGGACATCACCTCTGCATCAATAGACAACTACACATACAGTAGGTCTAAAGTATTACCAACACAACAATCTGACATGTATCCATCAAACTGAAAATTTGTCCCTTGGCTCTGCAGTCGAGGCAGAATGTTTTTCCTTAATATCTTCCTGAATCCATAACTGTTCTAAACTGACAATCAGTCGTATTTATTCAGTTTTAAATTACAATCATTCATCCAGTTATTTTGACCTCACTGCTCCCATCAAACTAAGCACTCTGGCTTTGTTTGCACAGACATTTTTTCACTGTTCAGTATGCTGTTCAATAAGGCAGAATCCAAGATGACACACATAAAAAAGTGAGAGCACAGCTTGCACACACTGAAAGGTTAACAACAGCAGTATGTCTTAAAAAAAAAACACATTATTGTTCTCATTGTTCAGGAATACAGAGTGTAGCACAGTATCAAAAGGTACAAAAAGAGATGGATATGTGGGTTGCCATAGTGAAACTACAGACGCACAATATCCAACCTTTCCCACTGCTGTAACCATTCACTGGAGAGGAACAGAGCACAATATGCTTAAACGTAAAGAAAAACTAAAATAATTTAAAATGATAAAAGAACCATTCGAAGACTTGTGGAAACATTTTTCAGGGACAGATGGTTTTAAAAAACATGAAGTAACAGGACAAAGAAAGAACATGATAACATGCATGGGAAGTACAGTATCTTCAGATGTAGGTTATCTTCTGAGATGAGTTTATCAGGGGTGCTTCTCTCAGTCTGCTCTATGGAGCAACTGCTGATAGAGATTAGTAAATGAGGGCCAAGGCCTGATCAGCAGAATTGAGTAACTGTCTCATCAACTGATCTTCTGTTGTAGACAGACAATGTAAGAACTAACTGCTGCCATCACAAAAAATTTAAAAAAAAAAGGGAGGGAGGGGGAAATAAAAATGGGCTCAGAGCTATTTCAATACAGATCATGTGCCAACAAACCTGTAGGTTTAATGGAAAAGGAAACGATTTACATACAAAAATGTAAATCTTTATGTGAATATACGGCACTTTTTGCCTTTTTCTTTTTTTCAGTTGATAATTGACATATATCTTTTAATCAGTTACTGCAAGCGTTTTGTGTTTTTTACTTGTGCAGTGGTCGAAGAAGTTTTCAGATCTTTTAGTAATCTATCAAGAAAAGAAAATGCAAGTAAAAGTCCTACACTCAAAGTACTTTATTTAAGCAGTGTTATAAGCAGTAAAATGTATTTAAAGTATTAAGTAGTAGAAGTGCTATATTATATTATTGTACTGAAGTTAAAGTTGTAGATGGTTGAAGTAAAGGCAATTTTGCTACTTCACATACTGCTGGGGAATTTTAATTTGTTTCAATACATCATATTTTAAAAGATGATCTTCTGTTGTGTGTGAAACACCTTGATCTTCAAAGTAAAGAGTAACTTCAGTTGTCAGATAAAAGTAAAGGTACATTTCCTTCTGAAATGTGGTGAGGTCAACTTTACTTCTAGAGCACATTTAAACACAACCTGAGCTGACCAAAGTGCTGTACAAAGGACATTAAAATAAATAAAAGTAAGTAAAACAACTGAATAAAATAAGTTAAGACACAAGGAAAGCACACTAAAGAGACAAAAACAAAAGCAAAAAACAACAAGGAGCAAATACACAATTATGAACATGACAACGGACTAAAAGGTTAGTGAGCCAAAAAGACCAGTGAATAAAAAAATGTAGTAAAGTATAAAGCAGCATAAAACTGAAAGATTCTAGTATAGTACAAGCACAAATGTACTGTGTTTGAATTAATTCAGTGATTTAAAACTTAGGTGAAGATTCTTCAGGTCGCAGCAGGAAGCAGTTCATGAATAACATCTACTCTCCGTTTCCAGCTGTCGGAGTGAACTTTGTGCCTTTCTTGTCACAGCTATCAGGCACCAAGGTTCAGCCAACAAAATGATTGTTCTCCTCTTGTCAGGTCAGGTCTTTGCGTTGGAGGTGATTAAATTGTGATTAGCTGAGATTTACTCATCCCCCGGAGCTATAAAAGCCCCTGGCTCCCTGACAGAAGGCACCATTAGGTCCAAGAACTCCAGGAGTTAAGGTATGTCTCCTGCTGCTTTTACCTTCCTGTTTCTTATTCTTTCTGTGGCTGTGTGACTGTGTGACTGAATGTATATCATATGTTAGAGAAAAAAACATCTTGAACACTACTTACATTTCTTCCCTCATCAGAAAACTGCTTTACAATAATTTTATCGTAACCTCTACAACTTTCAGTGTTGTCTGACTGATCCTTCTAACTTTCTTTAGGTTGGTCTCGCTCGTCTGCAGCCATGAAATTCTCCCTCGTTGCCGCTCTTGTTGTTGTGCTGGCTGTTGCCCACGGTAAGACATATGTAATGTGTTTTTAAAATCATATTCAGAATTGAAATATGCAATCTTTCTGAATATCTGCCTAATTATCTGCGCATCAAAACCTTTTCTCTTTGACATCTTGGTTTTACTATCACCACTGTGCAATTTAGAAAATATTTGATACAGTACATTTTATAGGATTTGAGTTCTTGCAAGTTTTAGACTTAAACAAAAACCTGAAAATAACCTCAATTTAAACGGGTTTTAACACAGTGTGCAAGCCTTCCCTTCAATCTGCTGAATCTAAGTCATATATTCTTCATCCTGTGTTACGTTCTAATTTAACTTAGTGGATTTGAATAAAGAACTTTAAATGTGTGCTCACAGGCTCTGAGGCCGTGTCACTGGTGAAGCGTGACATCCAGTCTGATGTGGACAGGATCACCAAGCTCATCAACGACATGTCCGCCAGCATCACCACCGCAACCCAGGACATGGTGGAGAAGGTGAAGGCTCTGGAGGTGACCAACACTGCTCAGTAAGTAACAACCAGCACAAAAATCTACCTTTACTCTCTTTCCTTTCCTTCTTCATCTACTGCTCTAACTCGAACCCAGAGTAACTGCACTGCTTTCAGTCTTTCATGGTTGTTTTATGGACAAAGTATTGCTCTTATGTCTGAATGCATTAATATGGATTTTCTTTTGGATAGGGCATTCAGGCAAGTGCTTCAGTGTAAACTCTGAGTAGGGCAGTGTAATGAGTGTATGACAGCTAAATTGTTCTTTGAGCATTATGAAAGTTCCAGTAGAACTAATTTTCCCTCTGCTATTTTTACTTCATTTCTTAATTTTGAAATGAATTTTAATGACACTTGAAATTGAAAGTATAGAAAATCTTATGTAACTGAGAACTTGAGAAAGGGTGGTTTAAGAAACAGCAAATGTGTCACTTCTCAAGACAAAAATGCCACATGGTAGTCAACAACACAAAGATATTTCTTCAGGGGCACACTTATGAAATGTCAGGCAGTTTTAGTTGATTTTTCTTTATTAAAATACAAGTCAGAGTCAGCAGCAGTGGTTAACAGAAAACCTGTCACTTCCTCTGTCTACCGCAGGACTTACATGGAGGACAGCAGGGCCAAGATCCAGCCTCTGGTTGACAAGGTCCAGGCCGAGGCCGCCAAGCTGCAGGAGCAGGTCAAGCCCTTCATTGCCAACATCGAGGATCAGATCAAGCCCCTGACTGAGAACCTCAACGCCCAGGTCAAGCCTCTGACCGACAACTTCCACACCCAGGTCAAGCCTCTGACCGACATGATGGAGAAGTTCTTCCAGCAGGTGATGGACCAGACCAAGGCCCTGCTCCCCCCTCAGTAAAGCTGCTGGTTCGTTCCAGCTACAATAACACCCAAGGGCTAGGACTCACGTTTGGTTCTACCCAGAATGCTTCACTGGTGTTTGTCTGTCATACTCCTCCATCTTGAATGTCATCATTAAAGGAGTTTGAAAGTCATTATTCTGAGCTGACGTATTATTTATTTTTGGCTTGTATGGGCTATATTTGATTTGCATTCATTTGAGTCCAGGGGTTAATTTATGTAAAGCCAAAGGGCAAGTAATAAAGTTGAAGTGAAATAAATTTGTAGCAGAATCTGATGAGAGTTGCTCATTGAAGTAAATGTCAATATCAACATTACCTCTAACCTTTGGGTCATTGAGGTTTTCCATCATTCATGGTTCAATATTCAGAAGTAGGCTGTCAAATATAGGTTGGGGTCCAGCTTACAGCATGGATAAGACCAGGCTGATGAGATTAACCCTTTGAGCCAATAATTAACCCAATACACAATCAGAATGATAACAAATCTGTCCATGTGAAAACTGAGTCCCACTTCACCTGTGTTTATCACAGCAACCTTAAAACCCGGGGGGGTAAGAAAATAAGATCACCTCCAGAAGCAGCAGATTAAAAACAACAGATGCATTTTTATGTTTAACTCACTATGTGGCAAAGTCAATCAATATCTCAGATACACCTCAAATATAGCTTTATCCATATTCTCCCAAGAAGCAACCTCTGCATGAGCAGCACACTTTAAAGCTGTGGAAACATTATCAATTATATCTTTAACACAATGAAGACTGTATGTTATTAAAATGCTTTTTTTCACAAATGACCTCACAACAAAATTCAGTTTCTTATCAGTCGAATTCTGTTCGATGTCGTCTCATACATCACTTACCACAGACCCTGCAGATACGAGTCTGCCTTCATTTCCTGTGCAAAAGTCAATTTGAATACGTAAATCACTCTAAAACCTAATTAAAAAGGTCCATTAAAGATCTGCGATGATTTTTAAACTCCCAGTTAATATTAGCCTCTTTGTTATCTTCCAGTAACTCTGCTAAAATTCCTCATTGTGGTAAAGTATTTTTCATGCAGTTGGAAATCTACAATTCAAGCAGTCCTGTCTGACCCAGAGTTGTGGGGCTTCTCCTAATTTGATCCAGATTAGTCAGTTGTGCACAACAGCGACACAACAGAGTGGAATTACTGTTACTTTTTCTCGGAGGGCAACTGGAGCACTTGGTTGTTTTTCCTTTTTTTTTATTATGTTACTACCCAAAGGGAGATTTTGAAAGACATTTTATAGACTTGGCCTGAGTTCAAGCTTGTGTCTCAAAGCAGTGAGGGAGACAGTGATTTGTTGTCAGTTTAACCACAAAACAACAAAATCACTAGTCTTCCAAGCTGCTGTGGACTCCCTCATCCAGACTGTGAAGGCCATGAGATTTTATTTTGTCAAATAACTAAGCAGTATTGTTCTAAGATAGACTTTATCTCTCTAACAAATTTTTTTTTTCATGCCAACCACAAATGCACCACTTAAATGTATATTAGCGTACTCAATAAAATACATTCCCTCTGGTGTTAATCTGTCACTGCCTGCTCCTTCCAGTTCTGTTGCCAAGATACAAGCCATACTCAAGGTGGCCTCCTTGAGCCAACGTCTGATCTAAATCCTCCTGTTGAGACAAGGGAGGGCTGAAGGAGCTTTTGACAAAACCTCCCATGGCTCACCTTCAAACCAAACTTTCTTCAGAACCCTTCAAACCTCTCGGATGAAGGCCGGAGCCTGTGTTTCGCAGCAGCGCTGGCAGTTCCGAGCGGCCTTCTCCTTGTGCTTGTAGAGATTAAATGAATGGGTTGGCAGCCTCTCAAGAAACCATCTGTAAAAGTGTTCGAAAGGAAAAAAAAAACACTCAAAGAATAGATGAACAAGTTCTCCTGCACGGAGTTATTATTTCAATTACTGCAATTATCTCTGTGCGACTACTTCATTATCTTTCCTCCAGCATTTTTCATATTTGAAAACAGGAATCATAAAGTCATCATCCTGCAGCTCTATTTACTCATATTGAGTATTTTGTTCCCTTGTGCCACTACACTGTATCAATAAATCTAGGTATTTACACGCCACTAACACACGCACAACCTGCATGACACATGTAAAGCAACAGTTTAGTGTGAACCTGTGGTGGTAGGACTCTGTGTCTGCGAGCCTGATGTTCTGGAGGAGGGAAGAGGCCGGGGGATGGATGAAGGCAGAGGTTTGAAGCGGGGCCAGGGGGTCAGCGTCAGGGGTTATCTGCCAGGACAAACTGTGTGATCCAAGGCTCGGCACAGCCAGTGACAACCCTGAAAGCTGGAACAGAGAGAAAACACCCGCGGACACGCTGTCATTCAGTCACTGTGGTGTGTTTTTATGTACTGACGTCAGTTTGATTCAGCTGTCAGTCAGAAACCCTGCTGAAATAAATTAGGATTCACTTAGTTCTCTTTAATTGATTAAGTTTACACTGAGTAATCTTACAAGGCATTTACTTTTGTTTCACAACAGAATAATGCGAAATGTTGCTTTAGAAAGAAAAACTGCAATGATCAGAAAATTGAACTGCAATTATATTGATAATCAATTAATTGTTTCAGTCATTCTAAAGCAAAAAATGTCAAACATTTGATGGCTCCAAGTGCCTAAATGTGAGACTTTGCTGCTTTTCCAATAGTAAATTGAATTTTTTGGTCATATAAAACTAGACATCTGAAGACGTCCCTTTATGCTCTAGGATATTGTGATAGGTATTTGTTATTTGCAGCCCCAGTTAAAAGAAATAGTCATATATAAGAGATTGCAATGAATAGAAAGTATTACATAAACATGATTAAACAATACAAGAAGCTGTGAACAGATTAGTGGATTTTTTTTTTGGCATCATATAATGATTTTTCTTTTCATTTTCTAGTTGTTTCAATTGATCACTTAATTGAAGAAGCTGCAAAAATCAAATATTTTACATGTGAAATTAAAACATTTTGTATTTTTTTCCCCATGAATCCTGTAAACCAGCTCCTACTCAGCTTTGCAGACCCCTACAAGCTGAAAACTGCTGTATGAATTTAACATTTCTGCTACATGTATGTACTGTACTCTAGTCCACAGAGTGAGTTAGTCTACTTGATGTTTTTATGTTGTCAATAATGATCAATAATTTAACAGTATAACAGCATTTTGGACATCTGAAGTCAGCTTTTGAGGGAAGACGTACAGTCAGTTGTTTCTCACTGGCACTTTGCCATTTTGTTAATGCTTCAGCTGGACACATATCACAGTGCTGGACACTTATTATAGCGATGGACACATATTACAGTGAACAAATTATACATTACATTAGATGGTTGATTTATATCAGGAAAACCACTTTAATTGAAAATGTTATACCAACACGTCACCCTATATATTTGAATTATCACATACTTACGTCATAAATGTACATACAACATATTAGGGATAAGAAATGGCTGTTGGCAGTAGGATCGTACTGTCGTCTTCATACGTGCTATGTAAGTGCTTATTCTTCAGTTCTAGCAGATAAAAACATGTTTTTCTCATAATAGAAGATGAAGACAAAGATATAATTATCTATTCTTCAGTCTCTTTCGCCTGAAGAAAAAGTGACTAATCATTGCTGCATTTACAGCTCTGCACTTACGATGTGTGTGAAATTTCTCTGTGTGAAACTGATTCCTCCTGAATTTAGAGAATGATGTGAGTATTTACTGAAACTTGATAGCACATCGGCCAACAGTGCTGCCATCTCTCCGGACCCTCTACACAGACAACCCTGTGTGAGTGTGTGTGTGTGTTTGTGTGTGCGGACTGCACAGACACAATGAAACCTGATCTGCATGTGTGTGTGCTTTTTCTTGTATTTGTGTATGCATACATCTACAGTATGTCAGTGTGGTATGTGTGTGTGCCACTCTAAGGTGTGCATATTTGTAGATAACTGCTTGCTTGTGTGTGTTTTTCAATCAAAACATGTGTGCTTGAAATAGTTTTCATTAATGATTATGAACGACCAGATTTGTCTGGATGTCATGTCTGTGTGCAGCAATTTGGTGTTAAATGCAGGGATGCAGAGACAGAATGGACCAGTCGCACAACTGAAAATCAATAAGAGAAAGCGGGTGACATTGGCAGACAATGGCAACAAAGTCACGAATTAGAAAGGAAAAACGTTTCTTTGGATTAGCACAGCTAAATTACCGCAATAAACAGGAAAAAAACATTGTAAATATTCTAAAGGCCATACAAATATTCTCGCAACCTATCAGTCAAAACAATTCAAACACATAAAACCACAGTATAATGAGAGACACACAAATTTATCTGAGGGTAAAATTATTTGCACTTACCATTCCTGAAATAGGCACCTGGGGTCATCCACAAAGGTGTCGATTGCAGGCACACAAAAGAGAAAGCGGAGTCTTTGTCAAAAAAAAATTAAACTCACTTGAACGCACAAAAGAGATGTTTTAAAAAAAAATGTTCGTAGGCTCGCAGAAAAGATACTAAAATGATTTTGAGGGGGGTGGAGAAAGTGGACGGGATGAGGGGCCAGTTCCTAACACCTAGCGTTGAGGACAGCAGAGTCGATGTTGGCCTCTGAGGAAAAAAAGGACACAGTCTGTCTCCATTGACCAGTGGAGAACACTGATAGATATGTTTTTGCTGGCATGGGTTATGTTTTTACTCAGAACTGACAGACAGACAGCCCCCATGCACACAGGTGCTATTCAAGGAAACTGTGTAAAAGTGACGTCACTGAGAAAAATCTAGCCCACAAACCTTTTCAACACTCAAGTCCCACCCACTACATGTTGCTCTGTTCATATTTTTCCCATTTTCTCCTTTTTTTTTTCTCTCTCTGTATCTCCACTTTTCTCCCCCCCCTCCCCCCTCACTCTTTGTCCACCCATCTTTGTGGATTTCTAGCTCTCTCTATCAGTTTCTCAGTCTATAAAGTGCATTTCA